TGTGTATGAGAATTTAATCTAAATATTTGATTTAATATTTAATCCAAAAATAACACAAAACAATTGTGTAACGAGTGTAAAAATATATTTCAATAACCTCGTATATCTATGTGCACTTTTTGAGTCCCACCTCAGGTATGCCCTTCCATTCTGGGGTACGTGTTGTGCGACTCAATTTGACCGCATTTTCAAGCTCCAGAAGAAAGCTCTTCGATATTCACTGGGACTAAAGAGCAGAACTCATTACCAGGACTTTTTTAAAAAATTAAAAATATCGACTCTTCCTTATTTATATTCGAATGCGTTTGCCTAATACATAAGCATGTATCAGCTTTTCAAGAAAGGCCATCTCACACTTATCCACTCAGGAACGCAGAGCAAGATCTTTATCTACCTACCCCACGCTCAGAGTTAGTTAAAAGTTCAATATTATACAACTCGAAAAAAATGCACAATCACCTGCCATTTGAAATCAAATCCTTAACATCATTTTCTGCATTTCGCAAAGCATTGAACCTTGTTTACAAGGCTTTCTACGCTGTAAATGAATTGTATTTTGAAAATCGAATTTGATCTTGTAAACACTGGTCTAATGTTTGCTATTGCTATATTTACTAATGACATCGAAATAAATTTATTTACAGGTCATTGATATTTACTATAAACTAGCTAAATATTTTTGAATGTTGTTTTTATTTTTTTGTTCTTTGACATTGTAAACATTTATAAATATTTATTTTAAACAATAAGACTGACAATATTATTTGTATAATGTTTTGTATTATCTTTTGTTTATTTGTTTGTGTACCTTGTTTGTTTAGTTTACGTCTACAAATTGAAAATTTTTTTGACAATAAAGGCATCTATTTATTTATGCCTTATTTTTTTTATGGTTTCCTCATATATACAGGGTCCGGCAATAGTGCGTCGGGCATCTGTAGCTCCTCGAATAAAAAACTTGAGAATTTTGTTTTAGTGCAAACCTAAAGTATGTTCCAGGATGTATTTCAGGAAAATATTTTAACTTCTATAGGGTGGCTCAAAAAAGTGTGTGTGGATCTGGATGATTTTTTTAAATGAAACACCCTGTATATACATATTTGCATTTTTGACTTCCTTTCAGATCGCTTTACATAATCCTAAGATATAAGTAAATATATTTCGATAGTTTCAGAGAAATTAAAAAATAAATTAAAAATATATATTTTTCAGTCCTTCGTAAAAAAAATATTAAAAATACAAGAACTGTTCTGAAATCAAAACTATATTAGGTATTTACTTTAGATGATCAGTTCTTACTTTGCTATAAATATGGCAAACGTATGGCATCATACAGGATGTTTAATATTCTACGCCAAACTTTCTAAAATATAAAATACTTTTTCTTTGTTTTTCTAAATGGAACACCCTGTATATTATTTTTTATTATATGGATAGTTAAAAAATGAACATTTTTGTATTTAAAGTTTTTCAAAATTTTTAATAGTTTTGCAGATACATGCAGTATAGATACGAAATATATAAAATGCTAATGTTTATCTGTGTCGTCTCTACTGAAGTAACGACGCACTATGGATCGAAGCATAAGAAAATATGGACATTGACTTATTTCGAAGTTAATACTTTTATTTGATTGCTTTTTATGTACGACTTCAATAAATACAACAAAAATCTAAATTAATATGGCATTTTGTACCATATAGTTTACAAAATATACAGGGTGTCTCAAAAAAGGACTAATATCTAAACAAAAAAGAAATCAAAAATATTATAGCAAAAGAGAAATTGATTTCTCTATTAAATCTAAATTAATATGGCTTTTTGTACTAGATATTTTAAAAAATATACAGGGTGTCTTACAAAAAAGAGCTCATCTATAAACAAAAAAGAAAACAAAACATTATAACAAATGAGAAATTACTTTCTCTGTTAAATCTAAATTAATTGGCCTTTTGTACCAAATAGTTAACAAAATATACAGGGTGACTCACAAAAGAACTAATCTCTAAATAAAAAAGAAAACAAAAACATTATAACAAAAGAGAAATGGCTTTTCACAATGTGCTTGATTGTTATTCCATGGCAAACTTGATATCTGAGTAACGAAATTGCTAAGCTAAGGGCACTGTATTACAAATGTATAAATATTATATAATTTCTGTATTGATAAAAAGACAAAACCTGAACTTCGACTCATTCATGTCCGGTGTCTCTTGTTTATCTTAACTACATAAAAACTAATGGTATTAACGAAAACATTTCTGGGCCTTTCAACCATATGCCTTATGTATTTTAGTGTAATTTAGTCCCACTCCAACATTCTTCGACGAATATACTTAACTATGTATATCGGCAAATTATAAATTGTTTGATGGTGCACTGTGCGTGCATTGCATACATCCAAGGATTTTGACATTAAAAACATTATATTTTTTGCAGTGGCACTTTGGGGCAGCCAATTTTTTTATGATATGTGCTAGTAAAGGTGGCTCTTTACATTGCACGTAATATCTGCATTTACATCCGCTTACATTTTTTTGTAATTCAAGAAAACTTTATATTTTTAAGTCTTAATGACATAAATAAAAACAAATGAGTTTTTCACTTCTGGTGTGACTTTTTTTTTAATTTAACAATCCAATACTATAGCCCAAGAACGCTTCTAATAAGTCGTTATATATAACAAACGGATATCTTTTGCATCCATTTTAAAATTACAATCAAATGTAAGACTCTTTATCTACCAATTTGAATGATTTTTCAATTTACTTCAAATGGTGCTCTATATGCTCATTGGCAATAACAAACAGACATACTGTATATGTTTTACAAGACTAGAATATCTCTTTAACACAAATATGTAAAAAAATATTTAAATTTGGAACTCTTCAAAAACGGCCAATGTCTCTATTTTCTTATGCTTCGATCCATTGTGCGACGTGCTCTAGAAAGTTGCTTTTTTACTAAAAGATAGCTAATTGGCTCTTCTAAAAACTGTCGTCGCCGGGTTTTTTGTTTTTCATTTAATTAAAAAAAAGTATTTTTTTCCCTTATGTCGTGGCGGATGCGCCAGGCTTCAACTAGTTATTTCATATAGCGCTTTGAATGGTCAAATACGAGAGAAAAAGCATTGGGTGGCTTTGACAAAAATTTACTGTGGAAAATGCCATATGAAATGTAAAACCGCGAATATCTGCGAAACCGTTAAAAATTTTGAAATACTCTAAATACAAAAAATATACATTTTTTAATTCTCCATCTATCGAAAAAATAATATACAGGGTGTTCTATTTGGAAAAACAAAGAAAAAGTATTTTATATTTTAGAAAGTTTGGCGTAGAATATTGAACATCCTGTATGATTGACAATTACCATATTTATAACAAAGGAAGAACAGACCATCTAAAGTAAATACCTAATATAGTTCTTATTTTAGGATATATAGTACTATTATTTTTTTTAAGAAAGGCTGAAAAATATATAATTTTTATTTATTTATTAATATCTCCTATATATATATATAAACTAGCGTGTACCCGCGACTTCGTTCGCGTCGAATTAATCATTTGTAATGGTGATGATAAAGCAAAGCAAGAATTTCTATTAACATACAAACTGGATAAAATTTTCTCACATTTATGTCAGCATCAGAAAAAACAATATGGCGATATTATTATATAACTTGGTAATATTTGAGACGAATGAATGAATTTTTTTATTGACGTAAAAATAAGCTTTTTACGTCAAGCAGTTTAAGCAGAATCGTGGTTAAGAAATTACCTCAATTTTTGGAACACCCTGTATGATTTTTTAGAAAAATTCAAAATATGTAAAAAAACAAAATAAATTATGCGTGTTCAAGCGTTTTCCCGAAAGACTAACCGTTTTTAAATAACAAATATTGTAATATTTGAGGGGCGTTTTCACCCACTTGGAATTTGAGATTTGAGAAACCCCTTCTTATCAAACCTCTACACCCCACAGTCAATCCGTTTGCCAAAAATCAGCTTTAAACGTCAAGCAGTTTAAGCAGAATCGTGATTACTCAATGGTCATATTTTATGAAACACCCTGTATAAATTTATAAAAAATCTTAAAATATGTAAAACAACAAAATAAAATATACGTGTTTAAGAGTTTTTCCGAAAAACTCACCGGTTTTAAATAAAAAATATTTTAATATTTGAGGGATAGTTTCACCCCCTTAGAATTCGAGTTTCGAAAAATCCCTTCTTACCGAACCTCTACACCCTAAACTCAATCTGTTTTCCAAAAATCAGCTTTTTACGTCAAGCGCTTTAAGCAGAATCGTGATTAATCAATGACCAGATTTTTCGAAACACTCTGTATACATTTTTAAAAAAGCTTAAAATATGTAAAAAACAAAATAAAATATACGTGTTTAAGCGTTTTTTCGGAAACTTGACCGTTTTTTAAATAAAAAATATTGTAATATTTGAGGGGTGGTTTCACCCTCTTGGAACTGGAATTTCGAAAAATCCCTTCTTATCGAACCTCTACACCCTAGAATCAACCTGTATGCCAAAATTGAGCTTTTTACGTTGAGTGGTTTGAGCAGGATCGCGTGATTAATCAGTATGTCAGTCACTTAAGGATTTTATATATTAGTATAGATTATTGCAATATACTTACTCATATCTTAAGATTATGTAAAGTGATCTGAAAGGAAGCGAAAAATACAATAATATACAGGGTGTTCCATTTAAAAAAATCATCCCGATCCACACACACTTCTTTGAGCCACCTTATAGAAGTTAAAATATTTTCCTGAGATACATCCTAGTACATACTTTAGGTCTGCACTTAAACAAAATTCCCAAGTTTTTTATTCTAGGAGCTACAGATGCCCCACGCTCTATTGCCGGATCCTGTATGTTTTATAGAAATATCTGGAATACGAGATGACCAATGAGTGAATATGAGCTTACCCTGTATATTTCTGAACGATTTATATTTATGTTGATAATGTATTATTACAGCGGAGACCAGTATCATCTTTTACATCGGAATTGCAATCACTTCTCCGAAGAGATCGCACAGTTCTTATGCGGAACCAGTATTCCGAAACATATACTTGACTTGCCGCAAGAAGTATTAAGTTCTGGAATTGGTGCCACTCTCCCCGCACTCATATCCCAACTGGAACAGAGCGCCAGGCCCATCAGCGAGGAAATTCAAGGATTCTCCAGGGAAAATACTCCTGATCTAAACAGGCAGATTGAGGAAGCCAGGTTAGAAAGTAAGATTGATAAAACTAAAAAACAGGGGAACGGTGAATCATAATAATTTATTATTTGCGTCCCCTGTCTTGACATAGTTGTAAATAATTTATTAAAGAATTAAATTAAAAAAATATTGTTTTTGTGTGTTTTTGTATATAAATCTTTTGGTGATTTTAGAATTTTACTTGATAAAATTATTAGGTATTTTATTAACAGTTCTGAAAATGAAATAACTGAATTTGTTACCTCTACATTTCTTTCGTTTTTGTTTATTTTTTTAGTCTATTAAAATTAAAGAATGTTGTAATATATATTAAACAAAAATATAATGGCATTTTAGTATCTTCCAAATTTTAAGAAAATATACTGTATGATCAAAGAAAAACGGCGTATCCTAGCATGAAAAATCTGATTAAAATCTAAAAAATCTTGATCTTTTTGCAACTTGATATAATATAGTAATATGACTTGGAAATGAAGATCACTTCATTTGCAAGCCAACTTTGACGCCGTTTTTTCTTCGATTGTACGGTACCTAATAATCTTTTCAAGTGGTTTGTGTGATTTTAACAAAATAAATGTTTTTAATGGGTCTTCAGTGGTAAGTAAAAATGTTCTCTTTGTGTTTGAATAATATATACTGACGACAAATGTGTTTGATAATGGGAATGTATGAAATTGACTAAAAAATCTAGTTGTTATTGAAATTATCTTGTTCAGATACAACAGTTTCCTTTTGGAACAGCGAAGGAAAACTTTGAACGAAAAACACGCTAAGAAAGAGAGGAAGAGGGAAAAAAGACGTAAGAAGATACTTAAAGCTGGTGGAGTAGTTCCTGCAGAACTAGAGGTATGTAAAGCTCGTATTTATAGTTGCGTCTCGAAGCTGGGTCTCAGAAAAGACCAACAAAAATAACAGGCTTACGTTTTGTCGCCCGTATACACGCACCTAGTAAGCCTGTTATTTTTGTCGGTCTTTTCTGAGACCCAGTTTTGAGACGCGACTATAAATACGGGCCTAAATCTTTGACAAATTTGACGTCGATTAAAATTAATCATATATCTAATATTATAAAGACTGTCCAACGAGTCAGGAAGGATACAGACGACATCCAAAAAATGACAGAAAATATGATTTACCTGCGAATAAAAAGGACAGACAAGAACTGTCAACTGTCATTGTCGTGTATCGTTGGAGAGACTTTATTTCGATATAGAGCAATTGAAATAATACGTTGACAAACATAACATTGATTTAAAAGTGGGTTTATATGCATCCACACATCCTTCTACGCCTATATGCCTAAAGAGATGGCAGCCTTCTCTGTTGCCTTCGCTATGCGAGTATTCCATGTGAGCCTTTTATCAAAAAAATACACCAAGATACTTTGGCTCTGTTTCTCCTGGCACCGGTGGTCTTATTCCTTTTTGGGTGGGAGGGGGGCTATATTTTTTGTAAACTTGTCAATTTGTGTTCTGAACATTGACTCAATCTCAGTCTGAACAAATCAATCTGTCTTGTTTACACCACGTGTCTACTTTGTTTAGTCCTGTCTGCATTCTTCCTAATGTCATCTCAGCAAACATATCCCTCACCACAATTGCAATGTCGTCCGCATATCCTAGGCAATAAGTTTTGCTAGACAGTTTATTGAAGAGGTCATCTACCAAGGTTACCCAAAGTAGAGGAGGTAACATTCCTCCCTGTAGACAACCTCCACCCGCTACTGCTTTGATGGTAGTTTTCCCCAGAGTGGAAGTTTGCTATTTTTCACAGAATGAAAGTACTATTTTCTAAGGTTTTTTGTTTTATCTTTATTTCTTCTACTCATTGCATTTACAAATATGGGTAATAACATTCTTGAATGCTCTCTCAATAATCAATCTCTTAATTCTCTCTCAATCCTCTATCGACTTTGATATAAGCCTATTTAGGTCATCCATCGCAGCATCCGTGGATTTACGAGGTCGGCATGTGCATTGGCGATTGCTTAGGAGCCTAACCCTTAGTACTTCTTATGTACCTATCCAAGGGCCTCTCTAGCGTTTTCAGTAGGAAAGAGGACAACTTATCGGTCTATATGACTTTGGTGTCAAGTCCGATACCTTACCTATCTTATGAAGATATATGACTTTAACCTTTGATCATATTTCCCCTTACACCTTACCTTTGATACCCCATAACTTTGAAACCTACACTAATGCTCGCAAAATACCTATACAGGGCGTTTCATTTAAATTAAAGAAGCTGTCCACGTTCAAGGCTGTAATTATTTAGAATTAGCCAGTAGTTATTTAGAATTAATTTTTAACACGCTCTATATGTATCATTTTTAATTTTCCAACACAATATTTAGTACTTAAAGAAAAAAACTTGAGACTGGTTTCGTTTTAAGAATTTAACTAAAAATTTCACTGAAGGACATAGCTATGGCTGACACCGCAGCAGTAAATGGCAGTAGCGAATCAACGCTACCGTCAGAACAGGCGTTAGCTATCGAAGAAGAGGAGCGAAAGGAAGAAGAAGAGAAGAAAAAAGCCAGAGAGCCTCCAATCGTGTATAAGGACTTAATTGATGTGAAGGAAGAGTTTGACGCGCTGATTGCTTTGATTGATGGGAAGCTTAGTCCAGAAGAGCAGAAGTCCACTGAAGAACTTCAACAGTACATGATTGGGGATGAGGGCAGTTGGGCTCTTAGCGATGGATTCCTGGATTATATCAGTAAATAACTATATACGAGGAATCGCAAAACATTTTCCGATTCACGTCATCAATCATATCGACATTGACACTAAAGTTTATAAACCTGACTAAATGAAATTTTGACAAAAATGTTTAAATTTGTTATTAATTTAAGATACCGAGCAGCTCTTCATTTTACTTTATAGAGCAAATGATTGTAACAGATAAATATCTAAAATTATTTAGATTAAATCTTCAAAAATTAGTTTGAACCGAATTTTATTATCGCTATGTTGGTCACCTTGCGCCGTGTTCTGCAACGTTGTCGTTTATTATTTGACAATTATCCTAATGTCACTCATTATTTTGTATAATATCGTGTTGTTGTTGAATCTTTTTGAGTAATTTTCTATTTTCATAGTCATTTTTTTTAAAATGTACTTTTAAGCACAAATAGTTCTTTTAAGAAGTAAATTTTCCAGTTTTTATATTGCATTTCTTGAAACTGTGTGTTGAAAATATGCCGAAGCATTTAAACAGTCGAAGCAAAGAGCTTGTAGCTTCCCTGATAAACTATTTTGAACGAAAACGTGACAATAAAGGTCCTTTATTATCCTTGACTGCAGTCAGAGAAGTAAGTTTGATTGGTAAGCACATTATACCACTTTCAAAGTTATTTCTACGTTAGTTTTCATTAAATTCTGTGATTATTAGTTTGTGCATTAATAGCACCCTCTTACTTGTTATCACCACTTATGACGTTGTAAGATGTACATCAATAAATAAATAATCCATAATAACGCTTAGAATAATCTTCATAACGGACTAGTTTTTGCCAGTATGTAATAAGTTATAAAACAAATAAATCAATTAATTACTAAAATATTAGTTATTAAATTAAAAATAAAACGTAAAAATCTTTAAAAAATGATATAACAAATGTATTGTTTGTGAATTTTACATTAAGATTAATCTCATAAATCCATCACAATCTGGCAGCGCTGTCGCTATCGCTTGTCACTCAAAGTTACTCACGTGCATCAGAAATGGTTTTGCGATTACCATATTTTTCAAATCCTGTTTTTTATAATTCTCTTATAACTTTTATAGACCGACTTCTCAATGATAAAGCGTTCCCAACAGAAGTAAGAGTAAAACTCCTAAATTTATTGGCCATGGCTGCACTGAAGGACGACGTAATTTTGGTTTTGCACCAGGACAGAAAAGACCACATTCTGATGAACTTTTCATTTGAAATCGACAGGTTATCAAAAGAAGAACAGGAAGCTGTAGCTTTATTTGTAAATATCTATTCAGAACTTTATGACAGTAGGGATAAAATTTTTATTTTTAGATGGTTAACATGTTTGAAAACCTGAGTTCTTCAGAATGGCTGCTTTACATTTCCGAATGGCAGTACAATACACAACAAATCAGCAATATTCGGGTAACGACAAAGGTGGCAGTTCACTGTCTTTTATCTGACAACCCAGTTCTACAAGAGCGGGGTGCCGCGATAATCTATAACTTGGCCGCCAAGGAGGTAAAAACTGTGGTGTGTATCTATCATACTTGTCAAACCGTCTTATGGTTGTATATATGTTGACAGCTGTCATCCATATCTCGTTTTTGCAAAACAATTTTTTTATTTCTAAGGTAACGTGACGCCGTTTTTTTTCTCATTGTACTTACTCTCGGTATGTGTCGGTGTTCAGTACCATCCGTGCGGGAACGTTCCTTATAAGAGCATGTATGAGCACAAATAAAAATATTTCCTATTAATAGGCTGGGTGCATTCGCTGCCGCGCCGGTGCTGCCACCATCCGGGAATATCGTAAACAAACGGGTTTTACAAATACACGAGCTTACATAGCGAGTGAGAAGGTACATAATTATAATTTTAGAAGACGTTTATAAAAAATTAACACTAAGTACCTTGTTGATTAAAAAATTGATTAAATAATATTTTATCCTTATAGTACCGTATGATCGAGAAAAAACGGCGTCAGCGATGGCTATGGAATGAAGATCGCTGTCATTTTATATGTAAATTTATATGGGAAATGTCATTGATGTTCATTTCCCAGCCAACTGGACGCCGTTTTTTTTTCGATCATACGGTATATGCCTATTCAATTTTTTGATTATGTAATGGGCACTTTGTTTACTCACTTGTTTTGTCGAACTGCCTGACAATTTAAGAGCACACGGGAAAAACGATGAAAGTCCATTTTTTGCTAATTTGATTTTAATGCATAATATTTTTCGTCTTAAAAAGCTAGACCTTTTGGTACCTGCGAGAATGTTTTGACATTCGTAGAATAGAACGACGTATCATATGTCAACTTTTGAATTGACATATGATATGTCATTCTATTTTTTTTTTTGTAAAAATACCGAGAGTCATTTAAAGAGAGGCCGTTTAAATATCAAAAGTTGTAGTTATTTCTGGTGAAATAGGAAGTGACTGAAAACGATTAGTAGTTACTAGTGGAAGCCTGGCGCATCCGCCGCGACATGCGACATCACGAAGAAAATACTTTTTAATTTTTTAAATTAAATAAAAAACAAAAAGTCCAGCGACGATAGTTTTTAGTAGAGCCAAATAGCTATCTTTTAGTAAAAGAAGCAACTTTCTAGAGCAAGTCGTTACTTCAGTAGAGACGACACACGGATAAACATTAGCGTTTTATATATGTAGATACTAACATACCAAATCTCGTTTTTTTTCATCTGGAAAAATTCAAAGGAAAATATAAAAATGTTATAGGGGTGAGCCATTTTTGAGACGCACCCGGTATAGTCGTTTAGCAGTCTTAATAATAATAAAATAAAATAACTTTGAATTTGACAGTTCCCGCGGACTTTTCTAGTGTTAATTTTATTAGATGCATTTTTCTTTGTTGTCTGATATTTAGAAATGTCAAAAGCTGATGACATTTTACTTTTGACAATTGTGACATTTCGTGTTGATTTTTGCAAGAAGAGTTTGAATCTGGCAACTGTGCATATTTAGCCGAGCTATAAGGCCGTCGATCCAAAACCGAAAGTTCAAAATTTCTAATTATATTCTGATTATGATATTGTCGCGCCATCTAGTATTCTATTTGTGCAATTTTAGCTCTTTCATTTCGAGTATTTTTCTGTTGCGTAGCTAGATATTCTGTGCTTGAAGGTAGCCAATCAGAACGCAAACAGAACGAATTTCGCAATTCGTAAATTGCAATTCGCAAGTGCATGAACTAGGCTTAAGAGTTACCTATCTGATTCGTTCTGGCACTCAATTTAAAGAATATCAGTAACTTTTTTGATAGAGGGATTTTATATTTGCCATGTTGGTAAAAATAACGGACAAAATTCAAAGTTATTCATTTTATAGACTATAGCAATATGTTCTGAATATCTGTTTGTTCTCATTTTTTTTTCATTTGGTTCTAAATGTTCTCAGAATTCTCACTTTCCTCTAGAATAATAAGAAAAATCAAGAAAATTCAGAATACATTTTGAATAATAATTGTACTTACAGTATTTCTCCTCATAAATAAATCAAACTAAGATACATCAAGATATGGTTGGCATGTTGTGTATATATTGGTACAAAGTGATTAAAATAAGCCATTTTCCGTAGGTTTTCGACGATGTAGCTGTAGAAATCACAATGGCCATACTTCAATACTTTAATCAAAAGCCATCAGAAGAGCAGCTTTTCAGATGTATGAAGGCTCTAGCGCGGTTTGCTGAAGTCTCACGCCAAGAAGTGCCTCAGCTGATCCAAATGATCGGTCCCGACCCGAAGTCTTTCAAAGGAACCAGCGAAAGAATCGACGCTTTTATCGATCAACTTTCTTCCAGACTGCATTAACTAATAATTAATTTTAATCGGCATGCTGTTAATATCCTATTTTTTATTGTTAATAATTTATTAAATCGGATTTGAGATACAATGAGTTGTGTGTTATTATATTTCTATATATCGTAAACTTTTTTATTACTTTTTACTTGATATTGTTTATGATTCGTGTTAATAAAGAAATGAGCTGTATCAGTATAATGTTTTATTTACTCGTACTCACAACCCTATAGTGATGAGTACAACATGGTCGAACTTGGATAATTGAGTCTTGCATTTATTTTTTTTGCTAATATACAGGATAAGTGCAAATATTTTTGGGAGCAGTATATTTCGACCTCAGGAAACATGTCTATCGAAAAAAAAAGCCTGAAAATTTGGAATTTCTTTAAAAAAATTTAGTAATGTTTTTTAATTTTTAGTTAAAAAACGTAATAATGTTCATAATATGGCAACATATGTAGTAGATTAAATTTAACAGAAAGTAAACCCAGAAAAGATTGAGCGGTTCTCAAAATTTAAGCCAATTTTTTTTTTAATTTTCAAAGTAAAATATCTGTACACACCCGGTATATAGAGGATAAGTCAAGTCTTAAAAAAAAAGATAAAGATCTCGATCTTATCTCGATAAAAGAAAAGAAATCTTATCGTTTTTCCAAAAATTGATTTATTTTTATGAAAATTTGAGAGTCACCGGATTTTTTCTGTATTTCCATCATACCTTTTAGTGCCGTAACCATGTAATACAATGATTAAGAAATTAAACAGTGAGAAAATTTGCAGTGAACTGGTAGTTCCAAAAAGTTTTCTAATATATACAGTCAAAAAGAAAATAAAAAAACTATTTTCAACATCTTTTTTTGCGAAAAAACCTCTTAGACGTGTTCCTGGGATCGAAATATACCTCTAAAAATATTTGCATATATGAGTATTTAAGACCCACTTTGTATATGCCAGATAACTGCTCCACCAAGAGATTTATAAGACATTTAAATTAAGTTATAAATTAATTATAATTAAACTTATATTGAGTTATTCTTTTCTAATTTATACGTTAGGTCCATGACCTCTGTGATTATACGACTGGATAATATTTAATTTTATTTGAAGTACTGATGACCATATTTCCTTTAGGGCTTGCCTTTTTCTATACATTTCGGGCGTATGCTGAAGAAAATCAGTGAGCTGCGAGCTTCTGAAGTTGTCATTTGTTTTGAGTTTTTACAGATTGCAAAGTGAGAGTCGATCCGCGTGTAAACGCGATATAAAAGTCAAGGAGACCAAATAACCTGCTTGCCAAAAGCACTAGCATCCAGAATCAGAAAATTAACAAGAATATGAGGAACTACGTCAGTTAATGCCAATAGGCGAAGGCACTTTAGAAAATGGGGTCGTTGTAACTATTGTGACCGAAAAATAAACCGTACAACTAACTATTCCTGTATTAAATGCTCTTATTACTTAGATATAGCTCTTAGTTACGTATATAGAACTAGTTTTAAATGAACTTGACTAAATAAACCTTATTTAATAAAATGTCATGTCTTTTATTTATCGCATTCTTCGGTTAGATTAGGAGCATTTCAATTGTTAAGAAAATATGTACCATTTTACCTTAGATTAGTGTCCTATTTACAAATACCTATTAACAAATAAGAACTTAAATTTTTCAAGGCATGAGAGAGGGTGTTCCTAAACACATTAAAAGGGTGATATCGCACAACAGTATTGTCGCAGACTAACTTCAAGTATTTTGTGCAATATTATTTAACGTCTAGGGTCACCTTTTATACTCCACAATTTATTATTCCAGTAAGCAACTAAATAAACACCTACACCTAGAATGTGATTACACCATAGATTACACAAGTGATTACAGCATGTTTACAGGGACGGAAGTGACAGATGCATAATAGGTTATTTATTTATTTAAAAATTTTCGTATCTCTTGTTAATCATATATAAATAGCAAATTTCAGTTTATTTTCAGTAGTAAACTGGTAGCAGAACATCGAAAGCTGTTCACCTTCAGTTGTTCCTTAATCAAGAAACTACTTAAACCCCACCCGATCCATCAAATCAAGGTATTTTTCTGTTTTTTTTTAATTTTCTATATCAATCAACCACTGTAGAATTTTAAAGTTATAAGTTTCCAATTAAATTTTTACAATGTCAAAAATATACGATTCTGTGTATTGGGGTATTATCGATATTATAGGATTTTTTTCAAGGCGCATTGCTAATTTTAGGGACAAACCTGTAGACATGTCTTCCCCAAAAACAGCCGAAGTAAAAGACATCATTACCAGCGACATTGTGGTTATTTTCTCCAAAACTTACTGTCCCTACTGTAAACTGGCAAAAGAAGTGAGTAATATGATTGTAACGTTGAAAATGTCTTTTATATTACTTATATATTCTTTTAGGTGTTTGACAAAATACAACAGAAGTATACAACTATAGAGCTGGACTTGAGAGATGATGGTGAAGAAATACAAGGAATTTTAGGAAAAATAACTGGTGCAAGAACTGTGAGTTTTTTAAATTAATACTTCAACTGAAATATTTTTATATTGTTTTTAATTTTAGGTGCCTAGAGTTTTTGTTAAAGGAAATTGTGTCGGTGGTGGATCAGATGTTAAAGCTCTTTACGATAAAGGTGAATTGCAACCCTTAGTAAAATAAACTGCTGCAAATTATTTATTATTAATGTTATACAGAAATGTACCTTCGTAATTTTGTCACATGATATTATATATAAAAAATATACTGTACTTGTAGGTGTATGTCCCTTAAGTTTTTTAATAAATCTCAAGTTCAATAAAATAATAGATTGAACTTGAAAGTAAAAATGTGGTTTTTAATTCTCTGACTAATAAATTAGCAACACGTAATCATACGACATTTACACGTAATTAAAAAAAATGAATATAAAGATATAAATGACAGAAGTCTTGCTTCACCTAACCTAAAAATTTCATAAAATAAATAAAATCCAAGTGGAAAATGAATATTCCTTATGGAAAAGTCGCTATTTATTTGTTAACCTTTCTTGGATATGTTTATTCTGGTTATGGGTCTGGAGTTCTAGGAACTTTGAGAGATGCGATTTTATCAGCTGAAACCGTTTTCGGAGATGTATTAAAAAATATTGTGAAAGTGGCTCAAAACTTTAAAAATGTGCACGATATTTTTGATGCAGCAGTCGAAGAAGATTGTATTTTTAAGTGTCCAACAGGTAAAGCATTATATTCTTAGATTTTTTCGTATTCAATTTAAAAAAATAATAATAACCTTGACTCTGTGATTCACTTCAATGAGTTGGTAATTGGTAATTAATTCAGAGTAACTAATTAATTATACCAGATATAAAACTGTCTGTTGTCTGTTATCAGTCATTATTTCTCTCTTTCTTACATTAATGAAACTAGAAAATGATAGAAATATGAGACCACTATGTAAGTTTCATGTATGGGTTTCATAAACTGAGTAATTAAAAAATGAATAGTCATGATATGACGTAGTTGCAGATATACTGCCGGTGTTATGAAAAAACCTTTTATAATTCCTTCTAGGGGACAACCATAAGGGACAACCAAGGGACAACCCCTTATCTGATGCGTTGAACAAGTTAAAAAACATGCAGCTGCAATGTGTACATATGTATATTTTGTGTTCTAATAATATTTATAAAAATGCCTTAAAATTGTTCAAATACACAGACTAGAGATAGCAAATACCTACTATCTTTTTATCTCAGTACTCTACATATTCCACATATTTGTAGAATATCATACCTACATTATCTTCTATAATGATAATGCAAACTTAATTTATTTTGTGATTGTTAAGAATTTAGAATTAAATTTCAGTTCACAGATAATTTTGGTGCATAATATCAGCAGATTTATCTTACATATTACAGAACTTTCACCTTATAGAATATTATACCTATTACAGCTATTACAAAATATACCTATTATAAAATGGATGTGGAATTATAGGAGGGTTGATCATATTATTTTAAATTATTTAACAGGCACCTTCGCCATAATGACAAGAAAATAATCTGTTCTTTGTAGAAAATTCTAACGTAAATTTATAATTTATACTAAATAAAATTTGAATTACGACGACATTTTTAAAGACGTACAAAATCCCGTAAGAACGTGGAACAAAATCCCGTAAAGCTGAATTTCTGTTGCTACATTATTATTTTTTATAGTTAGCCATTGTGGTCCAAATTAACATATTAAAAGTCTCCATCCCTCCTAACCGTGCAAACTACTCCAAAACCACCTCTAAAGCACAGTTTAAGGAATTCTAAAGGCACAATTTTTCAGTTTTTGCTAAATATCTCTGACATGCCCAACTTTATTAAAAAATTGATAGTTATCAAAGTTATTGCTTATAAAATTACCTACAAAATGTGGCTACATATAAGTGCATAATTTAATTAAACCAGCGACGTGGCAGCGGGGGTTTAAAACTCTAAATTTATTACGTTGCCGAAATTCACGGTTTATACAGGGTTAAAGAACGGATACTTCGTGAGAATATGTAAAATATACAGAGTGAGTCTTAAATAAGTGCAAATATTTTCAGGGCTGGTAGATCTCGACAAAGGAAATATATTTTCGATTTACCGTTTTTCTAAATAACCGAGTTATTTTACTTTGAAAATTTTCAAAAAATTACTTTTTTGCTTAAATTTTGAGAACCACTGGATCTGTTCTGGGGTTTCTTTATTGTAGATTTAATTTACTACGTATGTTGCTATATTATAAAGAAATTATGTTTTTTAACTAAAAAAAATCCAAAATTTTTTCTAAAAATTCCAAATTTAAAATTTTTTTTTTGCGAAAAAAATCTCATAATCGTGTTTCTAGGTTTCGAAATATACTACCCCTAAAATATTTGCAGATATTTAAGACTCACCCGTATAGAAAATAATGTTCTTACATTTCAGTGGCGGTTCGTGGTTATTATTGTAGGGAGGTCAATATCTAAAATTACTGCGTCGATTTTTTTTAAGACGCGACCAAATTTAATTTGTTTCTTACAAGGTACTTGTACGTTTAGTCAAAGGAAAATAAATCTAAAAATAAATACAAATTATGTTAAAATGAAATCTTTCTTTTCCACGGTAGTACCTATTTAAAAGACACTTGAATAATAATGTCACAAAAATATAAATACATATACACACATTTCTAAAAGTTTTATTTTACATTTTTTTATATTTTAAATTAATTCTTTCTCTAAACGTTTTTCGAAATTTAGGCAATTATTGTTTTCTTTTAACGGCACGATTTTACAAACTAAACGCTATATGTTTATGAAGATTCAATATTACAAATTACAATAATGACACGCTGGTTTCTAGGCAAAGGCAAAAAACGCCACTTTTTATATCGTTTGTCGTTTGTGTAAGTGTATATAAAATTGCCTACCTTACAAATCCTTTTATGAATGACGCGGTCAATGCAGTGGCGTAGCTAGGTAACCAAATGCCCTGGGGCAAATTAAAAAATGGGGCCCCACTGCTATTGGTTTAGGTTGACTGATTAGGTTTTATCAAATAAATATGAAATATACAAATACTTTAAAAATACTAAGCTACTTAAGCTCTTTTTTGTGCACTGCAGGACAGGTAATAAAAATATTAAACATTAACAACATAAATTACAATTAATACTTGGTGTAGGTTTGGCTAATAAAACGAAACAGAGAAGATTCAAGGGTTTATTATATAAAGATTGGGCCTATCAATTGACTAAATAACAATTATATTTATAATTTTTCCCCAGCTTTAGTTTTCGCAAAAGTATCAATGACTTCGTTTAAATCCAGGCTTGATGCGGTTTTGTTTTCAATTGCTATTAGCGATAAATATCGGAGTCGAGTTTGGCCCATATTATTTCTTAAATAATTTTTTATTATTTTTAACTTGCTAAATAACCTTTCAACTGCTGCACAAGTGACAGGAATTGTAAAGAATAATAACATTGCTGTAAATACGTCTGTTAGGTGTTAGGTCGCATTCCAGCACTCCATATTTGCTCAATATTTCCTTTCAAAATTGGTGAACAGTCCATGCTTGAGTTAGTTGAGGTAAAACTATGTGGTAAATATTAGTAAATTGAAGTGAAAAACTAGAGCCTATTATATCTGAACATTTTCTGTGGAATTCGTCACACTTTTGTAATAAAGTTGCTTCATCAACATGTAATAAAAATGTTGGTATTAGAAAATCGAATATATGACAGACTGCACTCATACCAATAAAACGTGTATATAGTTGAGATATTATTGTGTCTAGTACATTATTGAAAATGTCAATTTTAAATATTTTTTCTCGGTTTGGAAATCGGTGATCAGCGCTAATTCATCAAAATGTTTTTTAACTTTTCTGTGCCTTTTTTCTTGAAAATGGGTATCAATACTATATTTTCTTGCAGTTTCACTGGCTTTGCACTTGAATAGTTCGAAATAATTTCTATAAATTTACTTTGCTTTGGTATCTGCTAAAACTTTACTCGCTTCGCCCAAATTGATGTCGCATTTTTGTAAAGTTTTGGATGCATAATTGATGTCGTTCAATACACTGTGCATGAATTCGCAAAGCAACACAAACTCGAAATTTAGCATTTTTGTTCTAATACTCTCTGCTACACTACGCTCATCTTTATCAGGACTCTTTAGAATTATTTCTGATAATGCTTTGATAATATTGCAGGTGACTTGCATTTTTTCACGATATTTCGCGTTATACAATGAGCTGTAGCCGAAATCTATAGATTTGACACGATTTATTAACTTAACGGACATCAATATGAGTGGTAAAATCAAATAAAATTGAACCACTATATTAACCAGTACAATAAAGTTTATTGATTTACTTACTCCTGATACAGCATTAATTTTTTAACCGTTCTCGAAAAAAAAATATTAACTCGAATTCACAATAAAACGCACATCGATGAATAATAAAACGCACTTGACAGCACTGCAATAATTGACAACACTGCCAAACCTACAGAAAGAATTTAGGGGAATTCCCTAGGAATAACTTTTGAATTTCTCTCAACTGAGTTGTCACGATTAAAGTGAGGTTGCAACCTGTCATATTTATTTTGAAAATGGGAGAAATTTCCAAAAGTTCAGTTCGATCGAGATTTCTGGTAAGGATTCGAGGGCCCCTGAGCTTGAGGGCCCCGGGGCACTGCCCCGCCTAGCCCCTAGGTAGCTACGCCACTGGGTCAATGGCCAATATAAACTATACATATCTATCGTACCTTAACCCTTTATATTTTCTATGCGTAGTATACCTTACTTTGTTGGCGTCACGAGCCGCGACCTTGGAGTTTAAAGCCCCGTTCTCAGAACAACGTCGCGTCGTGTCGCTGGCGACAGTCGCTGTTCTGAGAAGAGGGCTTAATACGTGTAAAAACATAACAACACATTTTGCAAATAACAACATTTTCCAGTGGCGTCGTGAGGGTAGAGCAATTTGATAACAGAATTCGACTCTCCTCTAGTCCCAAGATATTTAAAATCATAGAAATATTAACGAAACACGATTCAATTTAGGAGCCGTTCCAAAACCAAATCGAAATCATGTACCTAGTGCCAATGGCTGCGGAGCATTAGGTGTCAAGATCAACAGCGATTATTTACCATTCGGGGCCATGGAAAAATGCTGTAATGCACACGACATATGCTACGACACGTGCAACAAAGATAAGGAAGTCTGCGATGTGGATTTTAAACGATGCCTCTACAAGCATTGTGATGCTTATGCAGAAAATGTTGGAGGCCAAACAATGACAAAAGGTAATAAAAGCGTTATTGTTTGTTGAAGAAGTCTATTTTTTGTGCCATAAAATTTTGCTTATTTATTAATCCTGTATATTGTATTTTATGTCTAAACTATGTTTTATTTCTTGTTGTTAAGAGTCTGTTACGCTGTACTGTTCGGGTCGGGTAAAGCGGGTGTGTGGCCGAAGGAAATATATATTATATTTTAGAAATCTGCCTAAGGCTTAGCCCGATCCTGTCGTGTTAAGCCACACCCAAAATTCCAAATACACGTGCTTTGATTAAGGCTTGATTAAGGTTTGCAGAGCTTCAGCATTTTCCATAAAATAGCTAGCAATTTGTTACAAAACCATATAAATTATATGCATTAGCGTAACTAGCAATTTATCCTGGGGTGGGCCTGGGGGTGCCTGGGGTTGAGCCCAGGGGGGCCTAGGTCTTTTGTTTTTTTAAAAATGAAAATTAATTTTAAAAAACACATTTTTTTGAATAAAACGTTTACATGAATTTTTCTATCAATAAATTTCATAGACTTGGTTATCAAACCGTGTTCCCGTAGATTACTTAAATACATTACATACGTACTTACCTACAAATTTTTTGAAAAAAAAATTAACACATTTTTTGAATACAACAAAATAATAATAACTAAACAAAACTAGAAAACGTCATTTTTACTACATCACAAGCAAATAAAAAGTAATATGTAGCCAAAAGTAATAAAATTCAAGATTTCTCTGGAGGGTGCCCAGCAGTACCTGGGGGGGGGGCGGCTCACCCTGGCACCCCTGTAGTTACGCCAATGATTATATGTCACTGTCAGAGAGAACACTAATAACTAAAGTGAGAGAGACCGATCAACGTTAATTTTTGAAGACTGTGTTAGTGGTGCGGCCTTTGGCGTCTAACCCGAACTATGAGCGCATTATCGATATAGTAGGTTGCATTCATACTATATACTGGCGCCAAAAATTTAAAATTTGTATATTTGAACCGAATCTTAATCTTTCAAGTTTATAATAAGAAATCTTCGTAGTTTTTTTAGATTATTTTGTTGACAACGAAAATTTATAATTAGACTTTAAAGCATTAAAACCTATAAATAAAATACTGTGTAGGAACATAATAATTTATTTAACTCCATATTCCTTGCCATACTCCAACTCAAGGCTGCAATCTTCAGTATCTTTTTTTATCTAACTTGGTTGGGAGTGAACAGGGAAGCACGGTTGGGAGTTCGCACAGAGTATCAGTAGGTATCCCGTAGGTATTCAATGTTTTTGATAGTCTTACAAGAACCTAGCAGTTGAAGAAAATAATTTGTATTACTGGAAATAATACTAGGTATAATACCTAGTCGTTCCATAGGTATCAGAAAAGAATGTGATGTTTTAAATTAAAAAAATTAAATTAGCAATGTACGATTATTATGTGCACTCACTATTACTATTAGGTTGTTAAAATAATTACTGAGATAAAACTTACCTTTAAAGGAAACGTTTTGTCTGGGTCTCAACCACAAAACAAAAATTACAAAAATGCTGAATAATCGTGGAATCTGAAATAATCAATAATGACAATAATCTTCTCTTCTGACAAGCTAAAAGAATAGGCACATTCAGTTAAAAACAATTTATTACTCCGATTTGCTCCGATTATCAACAGATTTTAGTTATCTCCTTCTAGAACTAAGAAATAGAAAAAGATACTGACAATCTAATTAATCCTGTCAAGTGTTTAACTTGCAAAGTTGAAAACTTCCTTTTTTGACCGCCTAAACGCTATGCGCGTCTGGATGCGCGGTGACAAAATAAACTTGTCTACGAAATGCCCTATTCCACAAGCCCTCTCACTTTAATTATTAGTTTCTCTCTGGTCACTGTAATCACAAAACTTTAATCTATATATTTTCGTATTGTAAGGAAATTTTAAATTATGTCTTTATTTTTGAGAAAATTTAGTCCAAATGTAAGGAATATTTTGTTGATGTTGGACCTTCAAAATCTAAAAAATAAAGAAGTTTTCTAAAAATGTGCTACAATACGGATATAGTATAATGCTATATCTTTAATTTCCTTCTTCATTTGTGTAAAAATACCTAGCCAGTTTTAAATAAAACGTTAAATGCCAAACGCTTAATTTGCTACTTTATCGGACTAGTGAAGTGGACTCAAGGATAAAACTATGCCTTCTAGCTGTTGCTTCTAACGTTAATCCCAATATCTTTTCTGTTTTTAGCTCTTCGATTAGCTTCTGATTTTCAGCACTATGCGTCTGACTTATTTTAATTAATATTAAAATTAATTTAGATATTTATGTTATTTCAGCATGCAAAGGTGCTGCAAAAATGTTGTTTACCGGTACGCTGACTTTAGGATGTAAAGCTTATATTGACGCACAGAGTAAAGCTTGTTATTGTCCCTCAAGTCCAGGCTGGAAGGATAAAAAGAACAGCAAATATACACCTGGTGGAGATAGAGGAGAACTTTAAAGAATAATTATCGTGATTTATTTTTGTTTTGGTGTTGTGTTTTGTAGTTAGGTATAGTATTAGAATCATACAATTTTTCCCATCGAGAGTTTTTTTTTTTTCGAAAAATTCGACATAGTGAGAATAAGTTAATTTGTTATCAACTAAAAGATGGTGCGTTCAAGCTTACCAGGGCCAGTAACGGCTGCGTGTTAAAGGAATTGCAGTCAAACTTGGATTAAAAATTCATATCCATGCCTATTGTAACCTCATTTATTCCATTTTTTATTTATTTATCAGTAATAATGCATGTTAATTTGTTTTTATAAATTATTTTTAAAATTCTTCATTTAATCACCAAACCTCAGAGATCAGGGATTTGCTCAATATAGTCTTCCATTTTTGTTACTTTTTTAAGATTTTTAAGAAATTTTTGTGTTCAGTTATATATTTTATTGGTAAAAAATACTATAATTTTTTTATTTGCATTTTAGTTTAGATTTGTTTTATTACCTGTTAATCTTATACCCAATTTGTTTTAGTTTATTTCATGATAAATTTGCAAGGCAATTAAGTAAAGACATAATAAAAATTAGATATAATGTATATGTTACTTGATTACGTCTAAATAACTAGTAGTAATGTTTAAAAGCAAACATATTTATTTTGTACCATCAAGCAATTCTTTATTCTTTAAATAGAAAATACTTTATAGGTTTTTGATGTGTCATTTTTCTCGATTTGGGTGAATATGTAGTATTTTTAGTTACCACTTGTGTGATATTTATGTATTTTTTGGTGGATTTTGATGATAATTGTGTTGTTAATTATATGTAAATAAAGTTATTGATTTCTTTAATTGTTTTATTATGAAGATTAAAGAACATAAAATCGGTATCAATGTATAAAAGCATTTCTTAATAAAAAAAAATTGCACTACTAGCTAGTCTTTAATAGAAAATCTTTGGTTGATCCCGTGGATTCAGTAAACATTTAGAAGAACTGGAGTCAGTACTTGAAGCAGCTGCAGAATAATTTATTGGTGCACAGCTATTTCACATCCTTCGATAAACTCTAGATACTGACTTTAGAGATACACGGAATTTCATAAAATTTTCATTTTTATAGTAAACTAAGATCTATTGACTCTATACAGGGTGCTACAAATTCGAGGTACGAGCATTGGTATCTCGGAAACCGTAATAGATACGAAGATGGTTAAATTAGGGTAAAGTTGCGCCTTGGGCTGTTCACCAAGATGCCATCAAAAAAGTTTTAAAAATTTCAAGGATTGCTGAGTTTTCTGGAAAAAACGGATTTTTTTGAAAACTAATTTTATATTTTCCTGTCGTTACTTTTTAGAAAATCAAAAAACTAATTGCACATTCTCATAGCCACTTTATTAGGACTATCTGATGGTATTTTTAGATTTTTAAATTAGCTGATAATTTGTGAGGTACAGAGGCCAACTTAATTTTTTTAAATACGGACCTGCATTTTTCATTTCAGATTTTGAAAGAACTCAGTCTCCTGAGTACAACGATATGCCACGCTTTATACTTTTTTTGTTTTGGGTACCGGGAACAGCAACAAAACTATTTAATTATTATTTAAAAAAATTTCAAGTCCGACTTTGTTTTTTAAATTGTTTAATCTAATTATATTCATCGCAACAATATTGATCAGTGCTAATTAAAATTGAATAAGGAAAATTGAGTCAATTGAAAGATTCAAATAAATAATATCCAGATCAGCAATTTATAGATATTATTTATAATTTTTCTTATTGTGAATTTGAAATTCTCAGTGTACGATCTAATAATTTGCATAATATTTATCGTAATTATTATGAATAAATTAACTTCTACAAATTCATTTCTAAAGCTTTACATAGTCTACATGTTCGAAAGGGTTACCTTATCTCCCTATTGCACAAATTTATTTTTCGTTCAATTTTATTTATAGCTTTTGAATAGAACTTCTTATACTTTCGAATGCATTTTGTACTCTTTATTGCAACTGCCGAGATGTGTTGATTTCACTTTTTTGTAAAATTTGGACCTGTCGAATTACTTGACGTCATCAGACGGTTCAGGAACCTCGCTTGCCATTATACTGCTCTACCATTTCCAATCCATCTTCCGGGGAAATGATTTGATTGTTTATATTACATGTTATTTATATTATTTTTTTATTGCGTTTGATTTCCCGTATTCAACCCACGTCACTGTTAAGTTTGAAAGCTTATCAATATTGTAACGATGACTATATTAAATATTAAAAAAAAACAGAGCCGGACTTGAAATTAGTACAAATATATTGTGTCCAAATTTCCAAAACAAAAAAAAAAAGTTAAGTGTGGCATATCATTGTACTCAGGAAAGCGAGTTCTTTCAAAATCTAAAGTAAAAAATGCAGGTCCGTATTTAACAAAATTAAGTTGGCCTCTGTATCTCACAAATTATCAGCTGATTTGAAAATCTAAAAATACTATCAGATAGCCCTAATAAAGTGGCTATGAGAATTTGTAATTAGTTTTTTGATTTTCTAAATAGTAACGACAGGAAAAAATAAAATTAATTTTCAAAAATATCCGTTTTTTCTAAAAAACTCAGCAATCGTTGATATTTTTAAAACTTTTTTGATGGCATCTTGGTGAACATCCCAAAGCGCAACTTTGCCCCAATTTAACCATGTTCGTATCTATTACGGTTACCGAGTTACCAATGCTCGTACCTCGAATTTGTAGCACCCTGTATACCTCGCATATGAAAATATCTGTAGTTTTATATACAGCAAAGTAAATGTATTAGTCTTATACATATATTATGAGTGTGTAAAGTATAAATTATGTCCTATTAGCGACTAACATTTATGGTTTAAAGTTTGCATAAATTTTTACACCATTCTGATTTTCAACCAATTGTATCCATTTCTGAAAATACGAAATTCTAGTGAATACTCTAGGACTGTTTCTGTTGGTACAATGGGATTCGAATGATGCCATTCCAATGATAACGTTGTTCTGGACCAACGACCCGCCAGAATCGAAGTTGCAGTTGATATTCTCCAGATTGTAAGCGCAAATCATCGATTCATCGACTCTCTCATCTTTAATCAACGTTTGGCAACGGTGGAACGATATTAAGTTCACATTGGTGAAATATAATCTGTTGCTTGTTTGAGTTTTTCCTGTCATCCAACCTATTGTGGTCGCTGAGGTATCTTGAAGATATGCATATCTGTAAATAAGTAATGATGAAGACAATTATTGTAGTTATTATAAAAAAATGTTTCATGCAAAAAATCATTATAGAGGGTTGTTCACCACATACGACACGGAATATTGTAGCTGAACGATTAGATTTTTACAAATTGTAAGTTTTGGGTTCGTTGAAGGACTATTAGAGCTACAATTTAAAAATATTTTTACAAGATACAGAGTGTCCCAAATAAATAAAAAATATCAAAGTTGTATTTTTTTAAATGGAATACCCTGTATATTATTACATTTTTAGTTTATATGATTAAAATAAAGGTAAATTTGATTAAGGTTTATTACACTTTATTACACTTGAACCTTACCGTTTTTGAAATATTTTCAATTTTGTGAAATTGCAGTATAAATTTTAAGGCTTCTTTTCTCCGAGGGTATGAAAGTTTTTAATACTAAAGTTTTACTGAAGTTTATTTATTGATGAGTTATTTTGTTGCAATAATAAAAACTTTACTACCTTATACAGAGTGTCTAAATATTTATTTCAAATAATTATTAGCTTTAAACGGCAATAACTTGTTTAATTTAAATGGAACACCCTGTATATTTTATGAGAATCAGATGCACAATTTAATTGTCTATCAAATTGTATTATACCATTTTTTACCTATCTCTTCAAGCTTCCGTAGAAAATGCATTTTCTTGTAATTTAGAACTCATTTATCAATATACCCATGGAATACTGACATTTTAGATTATTTTTAAAAATGTACCAAATTTTTAAAGATCACAGATACAAATATTGTCAATATAGTTCGTTTATTTCATTAAAGAATAAAAAAAAACTGTTTAAATATTTGTAAGAGGACCAATTAATATGATTCCAGTATTCAAACTACATTAATTGGCTGTTTGCGTTGATTAATAATAATTGCTCCAAATACTAAAAAACTGAATTATTTATGTGTGACAGTGTGTGTGAGACAGTGCGGTAAAAAAACCTTACCCTTAAAACACTTTTAAAATGATATTTCATTTTTTGACAAATGCTTATTTATAACAACAGAGATGTTCATTTTTATAACTTATTATTATATTGATTTCTGATTCAAATCCACATTTATTTAGAATAATTTATTAATGAACACAATTAAGTATGTAATTAATTAGTATTTGGGCGGAAATACTGGTGGTATATTTAATTAACGGTATACTCTTTTATAAAGATTTAAATAGTTTTCTTTTTGCAGTCAAATGGGCTAGTAATATCATCGTTTTACTAAAAACGATAATATTATTAGCCTGTACATTTTAAATTTGTTGTTTTAAAAACAATCTAAAATGTCAATATTCCAGATTTTCTACGAAAACTTGAAGGGATAGGTAAAAAGTGGTATAATACAATTTGATAGACAATTAAATTGTGCATCTGACTGTCATAAAATATACAGGGTATTCCATTTAAATTAAACAAGTTATAGCCGTTTAAAGCTAGTAATTATTTAAAATAAATTTTTAGACACTCTGTATAAGGTAATATAATTTTTATTATTGCAACACAATAACTGATCAATAAATAAACTTCAGTAAATATTTAGTATTAAAAACTTTGATACTCTCGGAGAAATGAAGCCTTAAAATTTATACTGCAATTTTACAAAATTGAAAATATTTCAAAAACGGTAAGGTTTAAGTGTAATAAACCTTAATCAAATTTACCTTTATTTTATTCGTAGAAACTAAAAATGCAATGATATACATTACAAGACACTCTGTATCTTGTAAAAATATTTTTAAATTGTAGCTCTAATAGTCCTTCAACGAACCCAAAACTTACAATTTGTAAAAATCTAATCGTTTAGCTACAATACACCGTGTCGTATGTGGTGAACAACCCTGTATACCTACAGGCTATAGGGTCGCTTTTATGTATGGAAATGGTCGATTATTAGGTAAAATATAGGAGGTATCGCAAAAAGTTAAATATAAAAGTTATAGGGTTTATAAATATCTATTAGCGGGTAATATATTTAAGTATACAGGGTCGGCCATAAAGTCGTGGCACATCAAAGTGTCATTTTTTTAATTGTTACCCCCTGTATATTATTTAATATTTCGGTTCTTCCTTCAATTCTAAGCAAAAATCGAAATACACACAATGTACGCCTCATAACAACCGCTCCCGAGTTATTGACTTTTGAAAATAATATCACTTAAACAATTTGATTTAATTAATTTCGATATGTTCAGTTTCATTTAACGATGCTATTTTGCTGAAACTGTGATAGTTAATAATATTTAACATTAGTTCTCAAGTTAGCATTTATAGATGTAATGCATAAAATGAGAGTATGGCAAGTCTGGAAATTAAAAAATTTTCGTTTAACATTTCAATTCTTTAATTTATGTACATTGTGTTTTACGATTATTGTTTAAAATTGAAGGAAGAATTGAAATATGCAATAATATACAGGGATTTCTTTAAAAAAAATAAAGTTTGATGTGACACAACTTTATGACCGACCCTGTATACTTAAATTTACTAGTAACTAACAGGAATTTAAAAACCCATTACAACAGTAACAAAGTTTCGGCAGAATGGCATCATTAAATCAAACCACACACATCGAAATTAATTAAATCGAATTGTTTAAGTGATATTTTCAAAAGTCAATAACTCGGAAACGGTTGCTTTGAGGTAGGTACATTGTGTGTATTTCGATTTTTACTTAGAATTGAAGGAAGAATTGAAATATGTAATAATATACAGTAGGTTCTATTTAAAAAAATGAAACTTTGATGTGCTATGACTGTATGAACTACCCTGTATACTCAAATTTATTACTCGCTGATAGATATCTAAAAATCCTATAACTTTTGTATTTAACTTTTTGCGGTACCTCCTATATTTTTCCTAAAAATCGACCGTTTCCATACATAAAAGCGACCCTGTATATGCATCTCGACTGAGATGATGCAGCAAATATGGTATTTAATTAGGGTTTCAAAATAAAAACAGAGAAATTGGAGGACGAGAAGGTAAAAAAGCGCCACAGAGTGATTAATTCACTTGACTCGTTGAAAAATACACCTTAAGCAAGCAGATCTTTTTGGCTCATTTCTCTCGACGTTGTTGGAAGACTTATTTGTCATAAATTTGCCAGATTGTTATTGCTCAATGTTGTTTGTACTTGTTTCCCAACTTATATCCTTTATTGTATTTTTATTTTTAGTATGACTATCAGGTCTATAGTTAGTATAACAATATCATTATTGCTCTATGTTCTTGTGCCAGTCTCTTATTAACAATAAGTTGTTTATCATAGAATCTAAAAGAACTGCGAACTTTCATGATCTGACCGACAATTCTTTCTGACCGAAAAGGAAATTTTATACATATCTTACCTAAAACTGGCTAAAGTTCCTGGAGTTTCATAAATCTCTTTAAATGGCGATCCAACTTTAATGAGACAAACGTCATGCGAGAAACTTTTCAAACTGAAATTCGCATGGCGCATCAAATTCTCTACGGAGTGAGATTTTCCTTTCTTCCAATTGTCAGCATTACTGACAATTTTTAATCGCTCAAACGGATAAATTTTTACTGTTTCGCAACACCTTGCTGACGTTAAAACCCAGAATCTACTGATTATTACTGTACCTGAAATATTCAATTTATTAATGTATAGAATAGAAAATTAATTTTTTTTTTCTCACCACAAATAAGGACCATGGTACCAGATTTCAAAAGTACCAGTGCTGCCATGAATTTAGGAGTTTCCCTGTGGTTCTTTGCGTCAACCAATGAGGAGAATTTGCTTTGTAAAGCGCTGGATTTAAAGATTCTGTCATTAAAATCTTCACCGCACTTTTTTCTAGATTCCATAATCATGAAAACGAGCAAAATTAAATTTGCTAAAGACACAACTAGTAATGTCGTCATAGAGAAACAAGCCACGGCAGATATTCCGTCACCCATCGTGTGGGGCTGAGGTGACAACAAAATGTAAACTGTCCATATATTGTGGCAGGTAATAGTTTCTATTTTTTCTTTCGAAATAATTGGAGTTTGATGAACTCTAACTAGATGCGTGTTTTAAAACATATTTCCAGATATCTCATTTCAAAATCATGCACGTTGATAAATTATTGGTTTATATTTCTGTGGGGATAATGAGTAAATTGTACCATATGATCGAAAAACCGGCGTCAAAGACGGCTAGAGAATGACAATTAACACTAATTGTAAAAAAAAATAAAAAAGAATAGAAAGTTTCCAGACAAATCTATTTCCAAAAAAAAATTCCCGAATTATAAACTACACCATTTAAAAACTTACTTAACACATAAATAAATTACCTACAACCTTCTTAAGGCCATCTGGCAGTAAGCGCCATTAAAAATGAAAGAAGCGTACGCACCAAGTAAATGATGTTTAGGGCTTGACCACGTCAAAAATGTCATCGATTGTCATTCCTCAGCTGTCTTTGACAGCTTTATTCCAATCGTATGGTATGAATATATGAATATATGTAGAATGTAGAATGAGTAAGAGGGGGAGTTAATCACTGCGACCTTAAAGATCTATTGTGCCACCCTTCCTAGAGTCATCATACAATCTATAACCCATCATACCCCTGTTGTAGAGGGGACAGGGTATTTCCCATCCTCATCTGACAATAGTTCTTCCTCCGAAGGTACACACCCTTCCACGGTTGGAGTTTGGCCCTCCGTGCCGGTCTTCACAGTCGAGGAGCTTGCCTCCGGCTGAGGAACCCGTGGGTTGGTGGCTGGAGGATCTGTCTCCAGTTTCTCCACCTCTTTAACTTAGTCTCTCCTTAGACCTGATACCGGTGTTGTCCCGTATCTATAATAGAGGATATGTCCCTCTTTCTCTATTGCCTCCTTGGATTTGAGGTCAATTCCTATTGTGAGGACCTGACCATGACCCTCCTCTCTCGAGTTGATGACTTGAGTTCTGACCTTGGATAAGGCTCAGCAGGTAGGTGGTGTCTTTCCCTTTGCTCCTCGGTAGAAATACCGTTATAGCCGCAGCCGCCCCTTTAGGGATGTTTTCTCCCTTCAACCAGTTCCGGCTCTTGCCAATTTTTAAGCTTAGGTGCGATTTCCACCAACCAATTGACCGATTCTTGAGATACACAATCTATGAGGATCATGCCCACCCGAAAGTGTATCCCCGCAAAACGCAGCTGACCCAGATTTTGTAGATCGTTGTGTTCCGATCGTCCAGTATAGCCTCTTCTAGAGGGGTTTGCTGGTCGGTGGTCAGAGCAACCTCTGGAAAATCCTTTGGCAGCACCGCCATTTTCACTTGTCCAGCAATAGCGGCAAAGCTGGTCATACGTCCCTGCTTGCCTCCCGGTGTTGGACGGCTTTCCATCCTGGCTTCTTTCTCTTCCTGTCGGAGGGATGGATGGAGATGAGTCAGGTTGTTTCTTGGTTTCTTTACTCCCCCCTTTTCGGAGGAGTGTTTTCGCTTTTGCTTCCTCTGGAGCAAGTTCTTCGTGGAGCAGTCGGAGGTATCTCCTGCTTCTGCTCCACTAAGACCTACCTACTCCCAGAGGATCGTCCAACCCGCCTGGTTGACCCAGGCCGGGTAGACGAAATGGTAGCTTATGTCGCTTATTAGGTCTAGAGAGGTAGGCTCCCGACCCTTGCTGGAGAAGGTGGTAGCTTGTGTGCCACGTGTGGAGGATGATCCCAAGCAAGTGTCAGTCGCCCCTCCTAACCGCCCCCCTGACCAAGACCTCCTCACACCCTCTACCCGCGAGACATGACCACAGTCAGTAGAGCATGCCTGGTATGACGGACAGGGGTAGCCCCGTCCGGCATCGTTTTATCTTGGTGCAATTGCCTGGCCATGACACTACAGCCAGGGACAAGACAATGAGATGCTTCTTAGACCGAGCTAAAGTGCTAGAGGAAATTCCTCCAGCACCTGACAAGGAAGGGAAAGAATAAATGAATACAAAATAAATGTTTTTTCTATAATTAAAATTACATAAATTTGAAAATAGAAAATATTTAAATAAATATTTGTGTTCTACTATAATAATGATATTGCACTAAAGCCTCTAATGGAGGTCATCAGCCTATTCAACTATTCCCAATTATCGTGTAGCCTCCCTCACATGTAAATACTCTGTAGTTGGGTTCATTGTTGTTTATTGTTGGCATGCGGGCTCAAGTTATACCTGGTAATTTCCTAATATCATGGTCGCATCTCTAGGTCTCTTAATTCCTCGTGCCCTGCCCATTGCCACTAGAGGGATTTGATTCTGTGGATGGATGGAGTGGATTCTATTATCTGGGTCTTCTATCGTATCCAGTCTATTCTTTTACGGTCTTTTTTAGTCGATTTTTGGTTATTTCCAGCATATTTCGTTCCACTGAGTGTTGCGCGAGCTGCAGTTTCCTTATAATGTCTATTTTAAGTGTACAGGTTTCACATGCATAGGTCATGGCTGGTAGTGCACGTTAGTCGAATGTTTTCTTCTTTAGATAAAGTTGCATTCTGGATTTGAATATGATTGAGTTTCTTCCATAAGTATTCCATGCTTCCCGAGCTGTGTATTAGTCCCAAATATATATATTCTACTATTTCCAGTGTTGTGTTATTTATTAGAATGTCTTCTGTCTACTAGTTCGTTGTACATTACTTTAGTTTTTGCTAAACTTATTTTGAGACCTATTTTATTGCTGGATGTATTTAGTTCGTTAATTTGTACTTAGTAGATCTACTGTAGTTCTCAGGTTACATTTTCCAGTCCTTTTGGACTGGACATTTTAATAACTTGGAGACCGAACCCTCCATAATTGTCTTTATCAATGGCTTATCACTACCTAAAACCGGTCCTACACGATGCGTCCAACGTGTTGGTTCCAACGTTGGAACCAACATTTGGACGCATCGTTTAGCTTCGACAATATTGCAATTGACAAGTGTGTCTCCTACACGATGTGGCAAATATTCATGTGTCCAACGTTGGAAGGTGTGTGACACATCGTGTGGGCCCGGCTTAATGCAAAGAATCGCACATTTTCCAAGCTGACTCACATGAATGTCATTAATAATGGGTTTTGATCATTTCATCTGCCTTATTATTTCATATTTGACACCCAGTTTGACACTGTTTCATTTCTATAGTAACGTTTATATGTAAACATAACATTTGAAATAAAGTTATTTATTGTTATTATTTTCTAATAAAAGAAGCCTTATGTTTATTCGCATTAAACAACTACAGGAATTTGGCAGCTAATGCAGACATACTGACTCCAAAATAGTGAAAACTTTCTGCGCGTGATGCTTAGTGCAATATATTTAGGAAAATTATTTCTTTGCATAAATATTTTCAGTTTATATTCTCTTATTATTAACCGTTATCAAGTCAATATATTACTTATCATACCGCTGTGGTATTTGTTATAAGAGACTGATTAAATATATTTATCATATCTTTGTTGATTTCCTGTAAGTTTAATATTATTATTCATTTGTTATTGTTATTTTTAAATCTTGTTCTGATATAAATTATTGTGTAAGATTTTTAAAATCCTGGAATGACAGGGAAATATTGTTTATAGTGTTTATTGCTGCTTATTAATTATTTTATTTAAGTTGTTTATCATGACTTGCATTTGGGCTAATATTAACATTTAAATTTGGCTGTAATTACTGTGTATATAACACAATGTACCTGTATATAACTATGAGTGACGCAGAGTGTATCATTTATTTATACATGTTTAATTTGCAACTAAAATTTATTATATAATTATTCTAATTCGAGTATCATAATTCCGTTCCAATTTCAATCTGTCCAGATCGGCAAAGTGTGCACTTTATATTTTGCAATAAATTTATTTAGTTTTAATAAAGATTATATGTGAACGAGTGAGTATTATTGGTATAGGTATATATTTCTTGTTTTGCTAATAGAATAATTATTTTTAATTCACGCATCTATTATCACAACGTATCATTCTTCATTTGCAAGTTTTCATCGTCAACTTGTCAACAATGTTGACTTTATCACATAATTTGGATGATAATGTTCAAAAACTATATTTATTTACTTTTATTGTTTATATGTTTTATAGAAGGATATATGGAAGGCATATCAGAAGAAAAACCATGTGAGGAAAACAAATTGTATGAAGTCAGTATCGTAGTAAAATATAATATAATATTATTTTTTTCCTAATATTATATTTTCCTTTATGGAAACATTTGCGTAGAAAATATTTCACGGAAATGAAAATATTTAAATTTTCCGAATGTGATAATATTGCGGATTAACATCGATGAGGAAATTCCTCTTGTCTGACTTATATTTTTTTGTAAAATTATTTTTTAAATTATTATTTATTTTTTTTTAGTTTTTATTTTTTTCTTCTAATATTTCGATATACATGGTCCGGCAATAGTGCGTCGGGCATCTGTAACTGCTAGAATAAAAAACTTGGGAATTTTGTTTAAGTCAAAACCTAAAGTATGTACTAGGATGTATTTCAGGAAAATATTTTAACTTCTATAGGGTGGCTCAAAAAAGTGTAAGCGGATCGGGATGATTTTTTTTAAATGGAACACCCTGTATATTATTGCATTTTTGACTTTCTTTCCGATCACTTTACATAATCCTAAGACATGAGTAAATATATTTCGATAATTTCAGAGATATTAATAAATAAATAAAAATTATATATTTTTTTGCCTTTCTTAAAAAAATATTAATAATACAAGAACTGTCCTGAAATCAAAACTATATTAGGTATTTATTTTAGATGGTCTAAACTTACTTTGCCATAAATATGGAAATCGTAAATCATACGGGATGTTCAAAATTCAACGCCAAATTTTCTAAAACATAAAATAATTTTTCTTCGTTTTTTTTTAATGGAACACCCTGTATATTATTTTTTATTAGATGGAGGGTAAAAAAATGAAAATTTTTTGTATTTAAAGTATTTAAAAATTTTTAATGGTTTCGCAGATATTCCCGATTTTATATTTTATACGGAATTTTCCACAGGAAATTTTTATCAAAGCCACCCAGTGATTTTTTTCCCGTATTTTACCATTGAAATATATTGCGCCATATAAATTAATACTGCGTGTATCTGCAAAACCATTAAAAATTTTGAAATACTTTAAATACAAAAAATGTTCATTTTTTAACTCTCCATCTAATAAAGAATAATATACAGTGTATTTCATTAAAAAAAAAACAAAGAAAACTATTTTATATTTTAGAAAGTTTGGCGTAGAATATGGAACATCCTGTATGATTTATGATTACCATATTTATAGCAAAGTAAGAACAGACCATCGAAATAGCTTTTTTAAAAAGGGCTGAAATTTTTGATTTATTTTTTAATATCTCTGAAACTATCGAAATATATTTACTCATATATTAAGATTATGTAAAGTGATCTGAAAGAAAGCCAAAAATGCAATAATATACAGGGTAAAACATATTAGCATTTGCACTTCCAAAGTTTTTTATTCTAGGAGCTACAGATGCCCGACGCACCATTGCCGGATCCTGTATTTCCAATACTTCAGTTATATTCCATACTGAAATACCTATTTTCATAAAGATATTTCCGGAAATTTTATACCAGTCAGTATACGAGTCTGTCAACATTCCAACAATTATTTCTTTATACTGTTCAATTTGCGAAGTTTGAAATTTTCGTCATCATTTTCGGCGCCATATTGGTTTTCACGTATTTCTTGACTTGGTCCATGAGTTGTTTATTGGTTGTAAACTAACAATAACAAATTTAATAACAAAATATTAAACAATGACAAATTTATTGTAGCCTACCCGCAGTGTATACAATGAATAAATACTAATAATATGTGAATGAATAAATACTATTAATACTGCAAAATAAAAACACTAAATCACCACAATACACCAAAACACTTTTACTTTTACACTGGACGCGCGTTTCGCTAACCATGTTGGCATCATCAGCAGATGATTATAAACTTCAGTTTATAATCATCTGCTTCAGCTTATTCAGTATTGTGGTGATTTAGTGTTTTTATTTTGCTGTGTAACACCAAAGGTTCCAATCCTTAACTGTAATCTTCGATGGCTTCACGGTCAACGGAACTGAATCTTTATCGTAAGTTTAGTACTAAGATTAGGTTATTAGAAGCAGATATTTGGTTTCTTAAATCATGCAAAGCCAATTCAGTTTATCCTAGTTTTATTAGATAGTTTATAATCATCTGCTGATGATGCTAACATGGTTAGCGAAACGCGCGTCCAGTGTAAAAGTAAAAGTGTTTTGGTGTATTGTGGTGATTTAGTGTTTTTATTTTGCTGTGTAACACCAAAGGTTCCAACCCTCAACTGTAAACTATTAATACTATTAATATGAATAAATACTATTAATATGTTCATGGATCTTATAAGCAGGAATTCCAGGGGACAAACGAATATTGTGACTTAAACGGAACTTATTCTTTGCACAGTCGAGCATGAAATTATTAAAGCCTCCGATGCTCTCTATAAAACATGTGAATATTTTCGATTTAGTTACAAAATATTAACTCGGTAGTTGTCCAATTACATCGTAAACAGCCGACACAGGTAAAAGGTTTTTTCCACCATCTTTTTCGAGTTTCAAATACTCGATAACTTTTAATATGAGCCGTTGTTCTTTTTCACTATAACGGGACGGCATTTTAAACACAAATTAAATCACAAATAACTAAATAAACACAGAAAATCCCACAAAAATTTACGGGAAACTATCGGAGTCGTTGAAATTTAACAACAACGTTGACAGTCGGCGATATTCTTTTGTTCGATTTCGGCGTGTAGTACAATAAACATGATGTTTGCCTTTTTCTATTCATGCACATTAGACAAGGAAATGCGATTCTTTACATGTAATGAAGGTGATCCGTATGTAAAACAAAAAAAATAATCCTATGATGTAAGAAATATAATGGACTTACGTTTTTGACACAAAACTTCCATTTCATATGATAAACATGGATAAGAGAGAGAATGACAATATGTGACGAAAGACTCAAACTTCGCAAATTGAACAGTACATATATAGCAATATTTCAAGGAACTATATTTTATTACACTGAATGAAAAAATGAAAGTCAAGTTTTACTGCTAAAGTAAATTCAAAATATAATTCTCGTTTTTAGGTAGTATTTTGTAAAGAAACTGACAGTTTTGTAACAGCTACAAACAATATTCAACCAGGAAACGTAATTCTTATAGACAATCCTATTGTTCTCGCTCCACTGCCCACCAAAAATGATCTTCTTTGCGTTGGATGCTGCAAGTATTAAAATAAAAATAACCTATTACATTCATATATATTTTTACTATAACTGATAATTTTAGAAGACTAGATGAAACGGATTGTTATTGCCCGAAATGTGGCTGGCCCAAATGTCGTAACGAGTGTCAAGATGTTTCTACACATAACGAAAATGAGTGTGAAATTTTGAGATTATGTCCCAAAAAATCGGGCGATTCAAAATTTCGATATGATATATTAATCATTCTTCGCTGCTTATTATTACAAACGTCAAATAAAAACAAATGGGCTGTGTTGTTGAACTTGCTGGATCGATTTAATGGTGGAGACCGGGGGAATGCAGATTATTTTAAGTAGGCGTATTTATATTATATTCTAAATTTGACTATTTAAAGATAACTTAAGAAAATACTTTTAAGACATCTATTAAACCATCGAAGTTTGTTTTCTAATTCATTGGAGAAATTAAACGTCCTCTTTTATTAAAACCACTAAAGTCAATCTGTTTTCCAAAAATCAGCTTTTTACGTCAAGCGCTTTAAGCAGGATCGTGATTAATCAATGACCAGATTTTTCGAAACACCCTGTATACACTTTTAAAAAATCTTAAAATATGTAAGAAAACAAAATAAAATATACGTGTTTAAGCGTTTTTTCGGAAACTAGACCGTTTTTTAAATGAAAAATATTGTAATATTTAAGGGGTGGTTTCACCCTCTTGGAACTGGAATTTCGAAAAATCCCTTCTTATCGAACCTCTACACCCTAGAATCAACCTGTATGCCAAAATTGAGCTTCTTACGTTGAGTGGTTTGAGCAGGATCGTGAGCAGTTTGAGCAGTCAACTAACTATCTACCCAACGTGTTTATTTTTCGTCAATAATGACATGTATTGACTATTTCCATTCTAAATATCTTGAGAACGGTTGCTCGTAGCGATTTTTACAAAGAGATATTTTTTACGTAAAAGTCACAAAAATGTATATATTTTCTCTCGGTAGTTTTATACAAGTGCGGACAAAAAGTTATTACGCTTCAAAACACATGTAGGTGGCGCCCTCTACCAGTAGGAGTCATATTGACATCAAAATCAAATTTCTCATGTCAAAAAACTCCTAGACAGCAATTTTCATCCAAATATTGACGTTACTTCGGAAATCATTTGAAAAAAATCGAAATAGAAATGAAACTTCTACACCCTCTGAAACTAAGCATTTTAGGACATACATTAATACGAACTTTTTTACTTATTTTTATCTGCAGAATATGCTTCCTAAGTTTCCGGAATACAGTTCGGACCACCCTGTATAGCTTTCACTCAGTGGAACCTACCTTTAACTTTACTGAAATACACTATATTTATACAGATAAATATTAAAAATATTGATTTATTTATGAATATATTTAGTAGGTTTGTCCGTTATTTACCAAGTTGATCATTTCTCTCACGACGATTAAATTACATAGGAATTTCCCACTTTTGGCAAATATTTTTTTTCTCTCGATCTTGTTCTTTCCCAGCCATGACAATCACATATTATTATACAGAATTGAACGATTTACAAAAAATGTTTCTTACAATTTTTCGATAAACCTACTCCTTCAAAAGTTATTCACGGTTAAAATTAACCACTCACAGTAAATTCCTAAATTCTTCAATTTTTTTGACAAAATTATGATTATTTTTGAAAAATTTAATCTATTACTGTAAAAATATACAATTCTGATGCTGTTAAGGTTGGGAATTAAGAAATCTTCAAGTCTAATAAAGGTTAAACCATTTAAGTATAGCTGATTTATTTTAATAAACATTCTTTAGTTGGATTCTGATATTTCTTCTTATATTCGCTTACAATCTGAATCACATATTGTTTTTCATCTCCAGTTCTAGATAAAATATTAATGTATTATTCTTCTGACAATTTAACAGCTCTTTCTGCAGTATCATTAACTACTCTCAAATTTTTTAAAATTTCTAAGCCTCTCATATATCCAGGATCCTTTAACCATTCCGTACTATCTAACTTCAGAAAACTTGTATCAATATTAAACCGTGTAAAAAGTTGTAACGAATTTGAATTTATGAAATAATCAATGTTTTTGTTTATAAACCATTTAAAATCATCCTGATTAAAAATGAAGCGTTTAGAAATATCGAACTCTTCGCCATTATTCACTTTTAAAGCTTCAATCATTTTCTGCCTGATACTATAATAAGCATTAGAATTAACTACCTGTTTGCATTCAATTGTTTTTCATGATTCAAAATTGTTTATCATGGTATCATGAAAATTGCTTTTTTCCAAATAATAGATTACATTCTTCAAAAATAATCATAATTTTCCTTAAAAAGTTGAAAAATTTAGGAATTTACCGGGTGTTTAACTTTTGACCGTGAATAACTTTTGAAGGAGTAGGTTTATCCAAAAATTGTAAGAGAGCTTTTTTGTAGAGCGTTCAATTCTGTACAAGATATGTGATTGCTGTGGCTGCGATAGAACAAGAGATCGAGCTAAAAAAATATTTGCAAAAAGTGGCAAATTCCCATATAATTTAAACGGGAAATGAATCGTTTTTGGGGCAAGGTCTATTGTGAATATTAAGGGTTTACAATGGTCTGATTTTTTTACGAGCCCTATCAACTATATGTTGGGACAAGGTCTTTTTTGCAATAAAAATAGTAATATGTTAAAAGGACTCAATTTATTTTGTTTATTATTCTAAATTCAAACATTACAATATGATCTAAACAATTTTACTATATTTTTATAACTTTACAAACAAATCACTTTTCATAATAGCTTATTTTGCCAAAATCTAGCCAAAAAAGATTATCCCAAATTTCCTGCAGTTTTGTCCGCAAATCAAAAATTGTTCTTTGAGGGTGGTTTCTTAAATATTGCTTCATTTCATGCCACACGGTTTCTATAACATTCAGGACTACTTGCAGGATGGGATAGAACTTTTATATTATTATTACCGAACCAATTTTTAGTTGATTTTGCTGAATGGCATGATGCTCCATCTTGTTGGAAAATATAGTCTTCGTTTGGAAACAATTCTTTAGCACTAGGCAAAAGTGAGGTCTCAAGTATATGTTGATATTTTTGGGCATTAACAGTGCCATCTCTAAAATTTAATTTGCCCAAACCTCTTGCTGACATGCAACCTCAAACTATAATCCCCTTAGGAAATTTAACAACCCTCTTTATGCAATCTTTATGAAAGACTTCTGCTTTATTTCGTATTATTCGTTTTCGATGATCTCCAACGCAAACATGAAATTTAGACTCATCGCTAAATATGACCTTATTTTAATCATTTTGTGTCCACGATAATTTAGATTTTGCCCAATTGTAGCGATTTTTCTTTTGAATTTCTGTCAGTAGCGGCTTTTCTTTGGCCTAAATAAGAATTTGTATCAATAATCTTCAGGTAATTGATTATCCACACAAAATAAAGTTTACCTTGTAAAACCCCAGACCGCATTTATGGATATATTTTCGGCAACATTCTCTTGATATATTTAAACCAGTTACAGTATTTCATTTAACTGTTACTTCGCGAAGAGTACTTCTTCTCGCAGACTTGCAAATTTTTACTAAATTTCGTAAACCTCTTTGAGATACAACTTTTGGCCTTCCCGAACTTCTGACCTCTAACGTCTACATTGGCAGATTCGCCGTATTTTTTTTATTATATTAAAGACCGTGGTTTTTGGAATACTTAAATCATCACAAATTTTTCGAATTGTTTATCCCGTACTGTATTGACGAATGATAATTTCGCCTAGTTTTTGATTTGTAGCTTTTCCACGGACCATTACTTTGAATTAGATAATTAACAAAATTGAAAATTAAAAGTACTTACAGTAAATCTCACTATTCAAAGTATCGAGTCACTTACAAGCTGTTAATGCTGAAGTAAACAGTTTGCGACATTTGTGACGTTTATAGCAAAGCCGCCTATGATGATATTAATTATTTAAAAATACTTGTCCCAACATTTAGTTGTCATTAAATTTGTCCTTTTATGAACAAAATCCGCTACTGTAAATATGGATTGATTTACAAATTCATAAAAATATTGTCAAGTTGTTTAGGATATATGGCTATGTTTATATTTAAAAAATTAAACATATTTTTTTCAGTCATTCTGAAAAACCAGGGCAATAATTCCAAAATATGACCTTGTCCCAACATATAGTTGTTAGGGCTCGTAGACAATAAACTAAAAATTTAGAGGGCGTCGTGAGAGAAATGATTAACTTGGTAAATAACCGGTATCCTAATATGTATTTAGGCAAGTTACCCTGTAAGTATACGTTCTCTTTTAGGAAAGTTGAAGAAAAGAAGCGTTTCCTTGAAGAAGTATATCTAAAACCGTTAAGAAACTATGAAGCTGAAATTGGAAAAAGTATATTACCACAAGCATCGAGTGATATAGTCGAAAAAGTTTGTGGTTTTCTAATGCTATACGTTATGGAACATAGCAATATTAAACTTCTATACGCTAAGGCTAATTTAATTGAACAAAATTGCGTTCCTAATGCGATTTTCGTGGTTGATGATGAAGATGATTATAAAATGACCATAAAGTAAGTCAATAATAGAAATATGAATCTAAAAATGTTTGTTGTTATTGTGTTCTAGAGCTGTGCAGCCTATACTGAAAGGCGAACATATAACCATTTCTTATACAGATATACTTTTGGGTACTCAACAACGCAAGAAGTACCTGAAGAAATTGAGGAATACTTTATGTCGCTGTTCTCGATGTGAGGATTCTACGGAGTTTAATAGCTATTTAAGGTGATTTAATACATTTTTTCATAAATTGATTATATCTATATTAAATAATCAATTTGAAGCTATAAAAATAACTTTAATTGCACCATTTTACTTAAATTTACTTAAAATCACTTTGAAAAACATTAATACATGACTTTTATCATCATCATCATCATCATCAGCTTACTCCCTCACATATTTAGATACTCTCTTTGTAGTTGGGCAAATTGTTAGCTATTGTTGGCTATACGGGCCCAAGTAATCCCTGCTAATTTCCTAATATCATGGTCCCATCTCAGGTTTGGTCTTCTTTTAGGTTTCTTAATTCCTCGTGGGTACCATGCTGTAATCTGTTGGCCGTCCTTCTTGCCAGGTGTCCTGCCCATTGCCACTTGAGGGATTTGATTCTGTGGATGGACATCTATTACCTGGGTCTTTTATCGTATCCACTCTATACTTACTACCACTTATACTACTACATAACTATACTTACACAACTACATTACTTTTATAATATATCCGCAGTGGTTTTTTGGTAGTAACGCTTGCAAATTGTGAGCTACTGCTTAACCAGCAGTTTCAAATGGTGCCTAGTGCCTCGTTTGCTTCCCCTTTTTCTTTTTTCAGGATCGCTAGTTCATCGTTGTTGATTCCTCCCGCATTGATGAAGCCGGAAGGCAGAAACACTAAGTATCTACGGGTAGTCGTATTTTAGCCATGTTTCATGGCTAATCTTACTGTAGGTTTGCCCAATAATTTCATTCTTCTTTTTTATTATAGTCCCCACGATAACATCTTTTGTTTATTGTTTTCTCTGGGCCAAGGTGACAGCGACGAGGTATGTTGAAGTACCTCCGCAGCGGTTTTTTGGTAGTAACACTTGCGAATTGTGAGCTACTGCTTAACCAGGTTGCAAATGGTGCCTAGTGCCTCGTTTGCTTCCCCTTTTTCTTTTTTCAGGATCGCTAGTTCATCGTTGTTGATTCCTCCCGTATTGATGAAGCCGGAAGGCACAAACACTAAGTATCTACGGGTAGTCGTATTTTAGCCATGTTTCATGGCTAATCTTACTGTAGGTTTGCCCAATAATTTCATTCTTCTTTTTTATTATAGTCCCCACGATAACATCTTTTGTTTATTGTTTTCTCTTGGCCAAGGTGACAGCGGCGAGGTATGTTGAAGTACCTCCGCAGCGGTTTTTTGGTAGTAACGCTTGCGAATTGTGAGCTACTGCTTAACCAGGTTGCAAATAGTGCCTAGTGCCTCGTTTGCTTCCCCTTTTTCTTTTTTCAGGATCGCTAGTTCATCGTTGTTGATTCCTCCCGTATTGATGAAGCCGGAAGGCAGAAACACTAAGTATCTACGGGTAGTCGTATTTTAGCCATGTTTCATGGCTAATCTTTCTGTAGGTTTGCCCAATACGTCCTTCTTTTTTATTATAGTCCCCACGATAACATCTTTTGTTTATTTATAAATATACCTATATATTTTTTTCAATATTGCTCATAATGCATAATAATTCTTAATTATTAAAGGAACTATATACTTTCTAGTGCTATGATCTGTTTTGGTATGGAAGATGAACCTTGCAAAGGTATCCAGCTATCACTAAACCCTACCGATGAAACGCCAGTCTGGCTATGTAACAAGTGCAATATAAAACTACCTAACAAGGAAGTAACTGATTTTATCCGGCACTTAAATAAGGAAGTTGATAAAAGATTGGAAACCAAACCAAATTTTGAGGACTTGAAAGATTTTTTAGAGAAATTGGAACTGTTTCTACATCCCACTCATTATTTGATTATTAGAGTTAAATATCACTTGATACAGATTTACGAAATCAGCCAAACATCAAGAGATTTGCTAAAAGAAAAAATGAAAATGTGCGAAAGTTTGATTGAAGTTTTTAAGAAAATTGATCCAGGGTCTACAAGGTCGGTTTTTCAAGTAGTCTTGTTTAAATTCTTTAATTATATCTTCTATTGTAGGTTAGGACTTCATCTGTTAACTATTTTATCAGAGTTATACAAAGCAAAAACAGAACTACTGTTCCAAACTTTTTTACCGGAAGATAAAGACGCTAGTTTTAGTCTGATTACAGAAATCTTACAGATTTTAAAGGAAGCAAATAAGATTGCTGAGTTCCAATCCCAAATACACCCCCAAAAGAACTTGTTGGAAAATGTGAAAAATAATAAAGATATGATATCGAAATGGCTGGCAGAAAATTCATTTATGTTTGAAATTGACTAGTTAGTTATGTAAAGATTATGATGCACAATAAAAAAAATATTAAATTGTTTAATATGTTATTACCTGCTTGCTTTGCTGTTAATTTTTTATCTTATCAAAAATACAAATAGAATAATATTTGAATAATAGCCTATTCTTAGAGCATATTTTTTTCTTAACTTATAAAATACATCTTGGTTTTGAAACTTTGTTGTTGCAATAGAAAATCATACGAATCAATAACATCATTCATCATAATCCATTTCGTAAGTACAGTAATAAGATTAACTTAATAAAGGCAGATATGGTTTTTAAATCATGTAGTGGAATTAGATTTGGCTGAAGTTTATTGGTTTACTTGAAATCAGTTATCTAAGAAACATTTGTTTATTTAGTATTTGGAAGCCTTTTCTAATAGTATGTCATGTAAATTTTTCTGTTGAAATCCATCCTTTTCGAGTTTTTCAACTTTAGAATAGCTGAAATCAGGGCTACTTTCGTTTACTTGAAATCAGTTCTGTAAGAAATATTTGTTTATTTAGTATTTGGAAGCCTTTTTGAATAGTATGTTACAAAAATGTTTCTGCGGAAATGCATCATTTTCAGTTTTTCAACTTTAGAATTGCTGAAATCAGGGCTACTTTAGTTTAGCTGAAATCAGATATGTAAGAAATATTTGGTTATTTAGTACTTTCTAAACATAGACACGCAAAAAAATTCTTGCGGAAGTGTACCATTTTCATTTATTGATAAAATATTGTAAAATACAGCAAGATTTGAAAAGTACTCGGCAATTGAAATTCGTAACCAGATGCGTTTTAGCTTACAGCGTGTTTTGATTGCTTTGGTTAGGTTTGTTTTGGTTTGGTTTGTTGGTTTATTTTTGTTTATTTTCGTTTTTTCTCGGTACGGTATCGTTGTCTAAATTACAGTGTCTACTAGGTTAAGTTCATACTTTCATAAGAAAAGTGTTTAGCATGTAAAGCAGGAACACGTGTTTATGTAACTAATTTTAGTTATTCTACGTAAGTTGGAAAAAAGAGAATGATGCCTTTCCGCAGAGAAATTTTTATGATTTTGTGTTTGGTGAGGCTTCCATATACTGGATGTTTTTTTTATAAGTGATTTCAAGTAAACAAAAATTTCACCTTTAGATTTAACTTATTTTTATTAGACTTTATTAGATATTGGACTTACCGGAATTAAACTTTTTTTTTATTATTTTTTAGACCTATTTTACTAGCATTTTGTAAATCTAAAATAGCTTGACTTTTGAATATTTTTTCTATGATTAACAAACTATAGATATTTTGAATGCAAGTTTACAGACTTTCTCTTACAAACTTAAATATTTAAAAATACAGAATGTTTCAAAAAACACGTGCCGTCTCTCGCGTGGAGATTCTTCATGTAAAAATAAGATTTATTTTTTATATCAAAAAAGGACCGATTCTGCTTTGTTTTCTAGCTACAGGGGGTTAAGTCTTTAATTTTTAATTTTTAGCGAAAAAGGTATATAGCTATAAGCGCGACGTATTTTAGTGCTAAAAATTATAAAAATATCTAAAATATAATAAAAGTTATCACTGGAATATTTTTCTAAAAAAACGTGTGCGCCACCGACTTTTTTTTTATTTTGATATCAAAATTGTGTAGGCCGTATAATGCCAATTAAAAGTTATCTCTTGATATTTTGCCCAATTCGGCCTCCTTGATGAGATAAACGCAATTTTATTAATCACAATTAATAAAATTAAAATAAAAATAAAATTAATAAATTATATATTTTACTTTATTATTAAATATTATTACTGTTAGGTATTACTACTATTAGTCCAACATAGAGCAATTTAAAATAAAAAAAATAATGATATTTAAGATAATAATTACAAAAAACCTAATTTTAAAAAGTTGTAACATCCTGTAACTCTAAAACTATGCATTTCCATACCCATGTTTATAGCAAATTTTTTTCAAATTTTTGGTGAGGAATCGATGAGTACTTATTTAACACTTTGGTCAGTTAATAACATTAAAATTTGTAAAGGCTGGTATTAGTCTAGGATTAAGGCAAATTGAGAAAATTTCGTTTATCTCATCAAGGAAACCTAAATCGACAAAATATCGAGAGACCACTTTTAATCGGCATTAAAAGGTCTATACAATTCTGTTAACAAGAGAAAAAAGCCAGTGGTGTACATGATTTCTTTAGAAAAATATTCCAGTGATAAACCATATGCACATCCCTGGTAAATATATTAACAATTTTTCAGCATTAAAATATGTCGCACTTATAGTATCTTTTACCCTCAAAATTTCATTCGAATCGCTAAAAGCACTTGGAAGAAAATTATAATAAATCGAAAGATTATTAAGATTTTAACACCCTGTAGCTACCTTATTTGAGAAATCCCCTTACGAGAGATGGCACATAATTTTTGAAATACGCTGTATTGTATAGAAGTTAAAAAACAAGCTTAAAAAAGACTAGGGAATTGTAACAAAAAAAACTATTTTTATTGATAATTTTTTTAAGTATCTTGATGTATTGTGGTTGATTTGTAAAATTTGCTATTATCAACCTAATCAAAAGTATAGTACAGACAAATGGCTTAAATCGCGTTAATTTCCTTCTGGAAAATTGACACCTGGATTTCTGCCAAATGATCTAGATTTCTCACTTATTTATAAACTTCACTACGCGCGTCTATTTTTAGACCATTCGCGTTGAAGCATTTTTTCCGCTTTTGCTTAATACTGCATGCGGGAAATATGGCGTGAAAAGTGTATAATCTTTTAGTCAAACGAAGGAAATTTTTGTAGAAAATGAGTGACCAAAAGTGTGCTGAGTGTGGTGAACCTGCAAACCTCAAATGCTCTGCTTGTAAGTTAGTTGCATATTGTAGTAAAGACCATCAGAAGAAGCACTGGAAATCCCACAAGCTTCTTTGCAGACCTTTTGAGGTAATGAAATGAAGGTCAGTATTCGTTGAAGATATTAATGAATTTTGTCCAAATTAGATTGCCGATGAGCCAGATAAAGGACGATGTTTAGTAGCAACGAGGGATTTACAGCCTGGAGACACGATATTGGTGGAGTATCCATTAATTTTTGGGCCTCGACCTCATATGGTTGAAGAAGGTCCTGTTCCATGCCCAGGTTGTTGCAGGTTAGTACAAATAATACACCACGTGCTTCAATATTTAATATAAAATGCATTTTGTTCAAGTTTATTTATTGGGTACAAAATAAACTAACGATTTAATTTAATTCATTTTGCGGTTAAAATTATAAATTACCAAGAACCTACGTAGTTTCTATTGAAATGCACTTCCTACTGTCGATTTATTTTTAATCTAGGTATAAGTACAATTTGTAAACATAAAAAAAATAATAGTTTGAAATTGTTTTCAATTATGTTTTTTGACAGATATTATATTATAGATATTTCATATTGTTTTCAGATATTTGACAGATATATTTTTAAACAGATATTACAATTTTTTTTTAATTTACAATAGCTATACCGGGTGCGTCTCAAAAGTGGCTCACCCCCTATAACTTTTTTATTTTTTCAGATGAAAAAACGAGATTTGGTATCTTAGTATATGACATAAATTAGAATTGATTGACATATTTAATTGTTTTTGGTGACTTCCTGTTTCACCGGAAATGACTACAGCTTTTGATTTTTAAATGGCACCCTCGGTATATTTTTACTTTGTTCGATAGAAAACTACATTCTGAATAGAATGGCATATCATATGTCAACTTTTGACATTTTCGCTTAATAAAAAATCGTATTTTAAATTTCAATCTAGAGTGGCTGTGTTAAAAACACTAATTTTTAATCAAGGAGCCTTGGAAAAATAAATTTGATTGTCTAATGTTTTTCGTGTCTTGTTCTGGCCGGTTAAAAGATGCCCAAATCGTATTTTTAATCATATCTTAATTTTTTTAAATGGATCAATGATGGGTCATTAGCATATTTGAAAAAGCATTTTTTATGAATAATTTGGTATCTACCACACACTTGGTATTTCGAGTCAAATTGTCTTCATGACCCGCATGTTACATTTTCAAATAAACCATATGTGAAAATGTCAAAAGTTGACATATGATATGTCATTCTATTCACGGTGTCATTTTCTATAGAATAAAGTAAAAAAATAGCGACGCGACGCGACGGTGTCATTTAAAAATCAAAAGTTGTAGTAATTTCCGGTGAAACAGGAAGTGACCAAAAACAATTGAATACGTCAATCAATCCTAATTTATATCATATACTAACATAATATCAAATCTCGTTTTTTTATTTAAAAAATAAAAAACATATATGGGTGAGCCACTTTTGAGACGCACCCGGTATAATTTATTGTTCATAAAGAAAAAAAATATAAAATAAGTATAATTAGTATTTCACTATACCTATCTTTACATAATCTTATTAGTTAACTCATCTTTAGTTAACAATCCATATCATATCATGCTTACAAAAACCTCCTATTTATATCATAAAAAAAATCATATATTTTTTTAACCAATTAAGTGAATAACATTGATATATTTTATTATTGATATACCTAGAAATGTATATTCTAACTGTTTATTCCTAAAAAACTTATTGTATGGGTAGGTTTATAAATAGAAGGGTTCAAACACTTCATTTTATAAAGAAATATTATATGTATGTTAAAGCAAGTATTAAAAATATGTGTTGAAAGTATACACGAATATGTTGATTGCCCTTTAGGTTGATAATAGGTGAAGGCTCGGCTAGATGTGACGGATGTGATTTTCCAATATGTAATCCAGACTGCCCTGGATTAAAAGATATGGACCGACACGGACACGAATGTATGATATTGGGGCTTAGAGACGTCAAAGCTATTAACGGACTTCACGATTTTTATAGGTAAAGTTCCAAACGCATATTTATTTCTGTGCTATCTCATATTGATATGAGATAACGTTCTTTCTTCATATCGCTAATAACATACAGGGTGAGTTTTTATATTAGCGCAAACATTTTCAGGGCTGGTAGATCTCGCTATAAAAAACATATGTTCCCTCTACCGTTTTTCAAATAAGTCTAAAATAATTGAGATATTTTACTTAAATTTCTCTTAAAATTTGAGAACCACTGGATATTTTCTGAGGTTTCTTTTTTGTATATTTAATCTACTACCTGTGTTGCCATGTTATGAAGATATGTTTTTAACTAAAAATTAAAAATAAATCCAAATTTTCAAACTTTTTTCGCGAAAAAACCTCATAGACGTGTTTATGGGATCAACCTGTATATTACCGTTATAACCCTAGATCATATATACTTACGTGGATAAGTAAATCACTATGGAAACTGTCGCAAACATATCAACGACTTCCATTTATCTTCTTTTTCTATTGCACACGCGGTGCTTCTACTCTATCTACCCTTGTCGAGGACCTATCGTCCGGGCGCCAAATTTGAACATAAATTTTAAAAATTTAATTTGTAAAATGCTTATATTTGAACAATAAATTGAATGTTTACTGTCACAAAAATTAAATTATATAAAAAATAAATTTAGCCACTCCGTACGAATATCAATATTCTTAGGAAATGTAACCAGAAAGTAGTAGAAAGTAAGCATGTGGCTTAATATAAATAAAAGGACAACTAAATACTTTACTTGCCTATGAAAAGATAATTCGGGGACCTTTATATTAGAACTTTCACACACTAAACACTTTCTAGTCATTCTTATCAGTATTTTTAGAAAGTCCAACGAAAAAAAAAATAAAAATATAATTGTACAAAAATCGGAGAACACAAACTCATTAAGGATGTGATTATCAACAACTTTTATCTGAAAACTTTTTGTCTAAAATAGATTATAATGGAATAAGGGACAATTTTTAAAATAGCCAAAATTTGGTTTTTTTTTCGAAATATCTAGGAAACCATGAACTTTTTCAAAAATCTGAAAGGCGAGTATTTATTACCCCACAAAACTGCAATTCTTTCTCCAATTTATCTACTCTCTATCTCCAGTAGTTTCCGAGATACCCATAGACAACATTGTAGAAAACTCACCCTGTATGATCTAGAGTTATAACATGGAACGAATTATTTACAAAATATTATTACAATACTATAAAAAATATACATATGTGTGAAACGCTAAAAATTTTTGCTTTATGTTGGGAAAAACCATATCTTGAAAATCTCATCTTATCAATGTTTTTATACAGTATCCTTCCTCTCCAATAAAAAATGAAGTAGATTATACTTCGCGTTAAGCTGTTTCAATATTTCTCTACTTTATAGGCAGTAGAATACAATTCCAGACAATAAAACCATAATCCATTATAACATATGTTCAATCGATATTCCTTTTACGACCTACAAAATAAATAAACAAGATATACATATCTATCATTTTTGTGTACATGTTACAAAAATCTAGAATAATAGCAATAAATGTTTTTCAAATTCTTCAGAACTTTGACATATACTTTCTCAAAAGCTTAAGAACTCTCAAGAACTTTGACATATACTTTCTCAAAATAATCTTAGTTCATTCAAATCACCAATAGTATCTATAGTAGTTGTGATAGTAGTCTCAACTAATTTTTTTTTCCATAGCAACTCTTAAAATTGCCTTATATCTATCAAAAATAGTACTTTAACCACAAGGGTAGATTAAATGATACTTTAACAGCGAGGATAGGTTAAAAACTTTATTTCTTCTCGCACTTTTTTTAATTGCTTCCATTTTTGAAAATTTTGGTATTTCTTTTCATAAGTTATTCGGGATTTAAATGGAAGTAGTTTGGATATGGCGTTTGTCGCCTCAACCTGAATATCTGTTGGTCATTTACTTATTTCGTTTTGAGCCATTTCTGGCTCCAATTCAATCTGCAATCGACACGAAAGAGAATTAAAAAATATTGACTCAAAACTGGCAACTAAAGAGACAGCTTCATTTATTTGTCAAATTACATAGAAATCAACGCCAACCCAGCTCAATATTTTTTCTATTCGTAATAAATTCCTTGAAATAATAATTTCTGAATATTTTTTAAAACGTAACTCGCCATGGAAAAAAATATTGTTTTATACACGACGATAAAATTGCATTATCGTCTCCCGAAATTAATTCACTCGCTCGTGAATTAATCTTTTTGGTCGACGATAAAATACCATTTTATCGTCTTGTATAAAAAATAACTATTATTGCTTTTATTGGTTGCATATTTATGGAATGGAAGCATATATTATTACTGTTTAGTGTTGTATGTGTTAAGATTTTCTTTGTGATGTTATAGTGCATTAATATGAATGACCATTTTAGGCAAGATACTTTATTGCCTTTAAGATGTATTTTGTTACAAAATCGACATCCAAAGAAGTTTGCTCAACTAATGGAAATGGAAGCCCACATGGAGAAAAGAGGCGAAGATAGTGAATTATACAAGTAAATTTTTCTTACTTTATAGCAAATCTCTCTCTAAAATATTCTGTTCCTCGAATAGGGATATCAACTCGAGAGTTGTAGATTATCTGCATGACAATTTCTTTGGGCCTATGCGAATGCTGGAAGGTAAAGCAGGAAAGGAAGTTCTGAAAGACATCTCCAAAGAGACTATTCAGAAAATTTGTGGTATTATTGATGTCAACGCTTTGGAAATCAACCAAGATGCGGAAGTAACTGCGTTGTATCCTACAGCATACCTTATGGAACATAACTGTATCTGCAATACTAGGCACAACTTTGGAAACTCAGAAAAAGGGTAACTTGTATTTCACATAGTTTAATATAGGTTAGAGAAATTAGAAAGAATTTTACATAATTTTCGATATTATCATTAAATAACTCAATAGCAATTTATTCTAAACGAAAAGATTCATTTCTTTCAAATATTTATCATTTAAATATCTCTTCCTAAATGCTAATGATACCTTGTATAATTTTCCATAACTGATATATTAAAAGTAGTCATTGAACTTTCAATCCTTTTAGTAATTCCAAAATAAAACACTAATTCGCAACAACTAATACACTAAAACACTTTACTTTTATACACTGGACGCGCGTTGCGCATTTCGCTAACAATGTTAGCGTTACCAGCAGATGATTAAAACTCAAAAGTGAGTTCTTCAAAACACAACACTAAGTTTTAATAATCTGCTGATGATGCTAACTTGGTTAGCGAAACGGGCGTCCAGTACTTTGCACTCCTTCCAACGCTATCTAAGTACATAGAAAGGTTGGTTAAAAGAAGGCTGGTTGTGAATCTTTTCTGTTTAAGTACAAATTACTTACTGAACATCAATTCGGATTTCTAAGCAACAAGTCCACAAATGACGCTATGTTTTCCCTCCTTAATAAAGTTTACTCCAGCCTAAATAACCATCATTCTACAGCAACAATTTTCTGTGATTTTTCTAAGGCGTTCGACTGTGTAAATCATAAGATCCTAATTAATAAACTGCAGCACTACGGGTTCAGGGGAATATCTCTCTAATGGTTTAAGTCGTATCTGAGCAACAGAAGTCAACTTGTGAGGGTGCGATTCGAACGTCCTGAGTCTCAACATTTCTAAAACTAAAGCTTTGTCGTATAAAAACTCGCTGCAGCCTTTTGTACTTAACAACACCACCACTGTCGTCGTAAAATCTGTAAAATTCTTAGGGCTTGTTGTAGTCAATTCTCTACAATGGGACATGCATATCGACGCTGTTGTAGAAATAATTTAGCTCTGCCTGTTTTGCATTAAGATCTGTTTCTAAGGAGCTTAACTTGTCAGTGGCTAGAACTGTTTATTATGCACTTTTTGAGTCGCACCTCAGATATGCCCTTCCATTCTGGGGTACGTGTTGTGCGACTCAATTTGACCGCATTTTCAAGCTCCAGAAAAGAGCTTTTCGATATTTACTGGGACTAAACAGCAGAACTCATTGCCAGGATTTTTTAAAAAATTGAAAATATTAACTCTTCCTTCCTTATTTATATTTGAATCCGTTTGCCTAATACGTAAGCATGTATCAGTTTTTCAAGTAAGGCCATCTCACACTTATCCACTTAGGAACGCGGAGCAAGATCTTCATCTACCTACCCCACGCTCAGAGTTAGTTAAAAGTACAATATTATACAACTCGAAAAAATGCACAAACACCTGCCATTTGAAATCAAATCCACAACATCATTTTTTTCATTTCGCAAAGCATTGAAATCTTATTTACTAGACAAGGCTTTCTACGCCGTAAATGACTTATATTTTGATAATAAATTTGATCTTGTAAACACTGGTCTAATATTTGATATTACTATATTTACTATAAACTTACTAAATATTTTTGAATCTTATTTATATTTTTTTATTCTTTGACATTGTAAACATTTATAAATGTTTATTTTATACAATAAGACTGACAATGTAATTTGTATACTTGTTTTGTATTCTCTTTTGTTTCTTTACTTTACCTTTGTTTATATATTTTAAAATTTGTGGACAATAAAGGCATTTATTTATTTACAGATTTATTTCTTTTTCTGATACTTTTCTAGATATGCTATCACAATTAAAGCTGCCCTTCCAATATCCAAAGGAGATCATATCACCACTATGTATACACATTCCTTGTGGGGTACTCAAGCACGTAGAGAACATCTGAAAGAAACCAAGTACTTTTCTTGTAAATGTAAGAGATGCTCTGATCCTACTGAACTAGGAACCTACCTAAGTGCCCTTAGGTGCATTGGGACCAAAGATGATGAACCTTGTGGAGGTAAAATTAGTTGTAATAATAATTTTACAAATATAAATAATGTAATATTGCTTTAGGTATTCAGTTGCCAATAGATCCTTTGGACGACAAAACTGAATGGGCTTGTGATAAATGTGACGTAAAATTAACCAATCACGAAGTAACATTTTTAGTCAATCAAATAGGTGAAGAAGTTGACAATGTGCAGTTGTCTAATCCTACAGTTCGTGAACTAGATAGTTTATTGACGAAGATGTTAAATTTTGTTCATCCGAATCATTATCATGCTTATTCGGTTAAGCATTCGTTAGTCCAATTGTATGGTATGGAGGAAATGGTTAAAAGAAATGTAGAGAAAAAATTAAAGCGGTTTTTTTTAGGTTATCAGCAAGGGTACATGCCTAATCAATTAAGCGACGATGTACTAGTCAGGAAAGCAGTCATGTGTAGAGAATTATTGGATATTAATAAAAAATTGGATCCAGTAAACGCAAGGTAAATATAATCTAAAAGAATTTGGGTATTTTTTAATAGTATAAAATCAAGTATAATATTTTTTTTATTGACAATTCTCTTATCTTTTAGATTACCACTGTACTCTGGAGTATTATACCACGAACTCTACTTAGCCAATATGATCCTGATTAAAAGAAAATGGGACTTGGGAATCAAAACTAAAGTTAAATCTATAAATTTAATGCTTCAAGAGTGCCAATATTCGTTAAATGAAGCGATTAAAGTTTTAATAGATGAGAGAAATTCACCAGCAGGTGTCAAACTTCTTAGTCTGATAGAGGCGTCAAAGAAGGAATTCGAAAAATTTGTAGCTAGGAACAAAATTGATTTGGGTGTCAAAGAACCAGCCAAAATTACAGAAAATGGGAAATAAATTATAATATATACGGATAACCGATAATGTTAAAAAATGATGATAATTTTGTTATAATATGAATAAAACAAATTGTCTCTGTGTATTGCTAGTTTATTTTTTAATATTATCTTTTCAATATTTGATTATTTCTTAGGAGTGAATGTAATTTAGGTTTTATTTTAACCCAGACTTGAAAAGTAAGCAGTTAATAATTTTTTTTAGTTGTGAAAAATAATATATTAAAAACATCTTTTTAAAAGTATACCTATTGGATCGAATTTCACAATTTAATCAGTGCTAAATATTCATAACTTTAAAAATAATTATGATAAATTAAAAAATTAGTTTAAATATTTGACTTTACTTATTTTCAAATATTCATTCATTAAATATTTTATTTTGTTTAAATTGATTCAAAGGATATAGATAAGGTCTTGGCGAAAATCCCTAGAGCTCTATTTAATGTTTAAAAACAATAATCAGATATATTTGGTTTATTGATCGTTATACAGGGTGTCCAAATATTCTGTAGACATAGAACTACTACGTATTTTTGTTTTCGTTTGGCTCTATACAAAAATGCTTTGTTTATCCGTTAGAGGGCATCAATCTTTAAAAAAATAAACAATTTTTTTCAGATATTTTAAGGACCGTTATCCCGATTTGATTGAGATTTTAGGCGTCTATGTTTTTTAAGTGCTTTAACATTTGACTTTCACAAAAATCAAGAAAAAGTACAGGAAGAGTAGAAACTACACCCACCCCTACATAAATTCTAGTATATTTTTTTTTCGATTCAAACAACAACCGATTTTTTTTCGTAGAATGGTCTTTCTAGTATTTACTAAATTTTTTGTCTCTGGTAAAAGAATGCCTTGTCAATGCCTTTGTCAATGCCTTGTCAAAGTCAAAGAATGTGCTCTATCATGGGACAAACGAATCACTATTAGTTCAGTCATTGGGGATCAAAAAAGGGGCCTGCTTGGAAAAATGTCCGGATGTTTTGAAACTTTGCAGGTTTACAGGTTTTAGGATCCCTAACTAAAATCCATAAAATGCACACTTCCAGACTTGCCGCCGGCGCCGCCATCTTGCCAAGATGGCGCCCAAAATCGGTATTTTGTGAATATCTCTAAAACTATGCGTTTTTCGCGACAATTTAAGGAGAGCAAAATTAAAGGAAATAAAATTTCCTATAAAAAAGGTTTTATGAAAATTTTCGCTGAAGTCAACCGTTTAGGCACAAAATCCCTGGAAATTTTACAATTTTGCGTAAAATATGATATATTATGTATAGTCGATTTTCTGAAATCATTTATGTCGATTAGGGTTCACTAAAACCAAGGATATACTATAGAGATAAGGATAGTTCGATTCCTATCTTCCTGCACTGTCAGTTTTTTTACGTCATCTACTGACCGAGTTGAAGTTGGCGCTAAAGATTTTAGACAGTGACAGTTATTTTTGCATTTGACGGACGAGCGCACAGTGCGTTGGAAGATAAATTTAGCGGGACAAAAGCGTTTGGTTAGAAATAAGCCAAAAATGTGTACTGATAAGAATAAATAGTAGACATTCCAATTGATACAAAAATGCATGAATATTCTTTGTATTTCGATACATTTTTATCAACCAAATTTGGTCGTTTTCTGCTCAGCAAGGCAGAGATCATACGAAAACAAAATATTTACAAGTGCTTATACATTTTATTAGAAAGCCAAATTATGTTGAAGATTGCCAAAGATATGTACTTTTCTACTGTACGTATATTATTTGTTAAAATCCTTCGTGCCTTTGTTCTGCAGATATCAAACTTTCACTTTTTTTTCAAATATCGATATATTGAATGATGTAGCTTTTTTGAGTTACCAACAGTTACCAACACAGGTAGTCACAGTCACAGGGAGTTCAAGCTTAACAGGTGAATGCCCAAAAAGATTCATTTCAGTCGGATAGTATAAAAACAAAACAATTCCATCAAAAGGCACTGATTTTAAAAAATTGTCTTAGATACTTACTATATATGAATTTACAATTACCGAGTGTTAAAATTAAAATTAAAATATCTATCTTATTTATTATTTTCAAAATAAAATATATTTTTTTTAAATAAATTATAGAGGGTGTCACAAGATTACAATTAATTTAAAAAACTGCTAAAGAGTTTTTTGATATCATAATTTTATGTATTTGGTAATAGTTTACAATACGGTTTTTGTGTGTCATGTACGAATAATATCATAGTTTTATTATCTTGTATTTATTTATTAATAAATTAAGTTGTTAATAAATAAATAAATTTAACCATATAGTTGCTATATATCAGACCATTTGCTACGTTCTTAGATTTTAAGTCCCAAACATTGCTCTTGAGATTTTGTCCCGCTAGAATAACCAACCGCCGCACTGTGGAGCGCTGGTCAGCGCGTGACGTAGCATTCCACGGCGACTACGACAGCGGCGATTTGACGCGATCGAACAGTCCTTTAGAATATATACAGTCCTTGCACTAAAACTAGTTTTAGTTTAGTTTCTTCAATTTTGTCATGAAACAGTGTCGTATCATTAATTCGCTCATTAATTTATGAATAATTAATTGTCGTGCTGGACAGCATTCATTGCGAATTCTTACCACCAGATTCAACATTGGTCTGGTTGTACCAAAGATGCCGAAGAATAGGGTTGGAAGAAAACAAAAAGAGGCATTACTCCAGTCACAACGTTGAAAGATTCAGCTCCAAAATCCCTGTTGGCATTTTTATCCTGTAAACGCAAAACCAACAACTATGGTAAAGTCTGCGCATGCAGAAAAGCAGGATTAAAATGTTCAATGATGTGTGCATACTGCAATGGAAAATCCTGTGACAACGCCAATGAAGTGTCACTCGACGAATCCGATGAAGAGGAGTTGGACTGGCCTGTAGATATCCCTTTGGCGGCTGAAGATGAAGAGTTGGACGTATTGAGAGACCACCCTGATGAGCCGCTGGGCTGCACAGCAGACACGATCGACTTTGACATCAATGAGCCAGATCCGTCGGGCTTGAGCAGATAAGTTAAACTTTTTAATTTATCTAGTGGAGTAGGCCTCCGGGGAGACCACGTTAAAATAAACGCGCCATATACTTTACCTCTTGGGTGGTGTGGAAACAAGTACACATTTTCAATAAATAAAATTAATTATTCATAAATTAATGCGCGAATTTATGATACGCCACTGTTTTATGACAAAATTGAAGAAACTAAACTAAAACTAGTTTTAGTGAACCCTAATCGACATTTGATTTCGGAAAATCGACTATACATAATATATCATATTTTACGCAAAATTGTAAAATTTCCAGGGATTTTGTGCCTAAACGGTTGACTTTAGTGAAAATTTTCATAAAACCTTTTGTATAGGAAATTTTATTTTCTTTAATTTTGCTGTCCTCAAATTTTCGAGAAAAACGCATAGTTTTCGAGATATTCACAAAACACCGATTTTGGGCGCCATCTTGGCAAGATCTGGAAATGTGCATTTTATGGATTTTAGTTAGGGACCCCAAAACCTATAAACCTGCAAAGTTGCAAAACTTCCGGACTTTTTTCCAAGCAAAAATCCCCAATGACTGAACTATATTGTATAGAGGTAAATTATGTCTAATGAATAATAGTTCTATGTCCATGTAACATTGGGACACCCTGTATAGAATATAGGTAAAATCAAAAACAATTTTAACAATAAACAAAATTCTTGTTGATATCAGATAGATTATAGAAGAGTGTTACTAGTATTATATACGAGTATGTAAGCCAGTAAAAATTCCAATAAGCATAATGGCATGAAACATAATATAATAATTAACATTTAATTGTTTTTTTTTTGTCAAAATTTATTGAATTTTTGTTATCAGTGATATTATCCCAGTTAATATAAAATGAAAGAAATACTTGAGATTTTAAGATATTTGATTTATATTTTAAGCATGATAGTGGTTGTACGTTAATTTACACAGTAAGAGCGTCAAAATTCTTATAGATACAAAAAATAACTGTTGTAAAAAGTAATGTATCAAAATTATAGTATAAAAAATAAATGACATAATTTAAGAGTCCATTTCTCTTATCCGAAAAAGTAGCAAAATAAACGTTGGGAATTTCACGTTTTATGTAAAACTGGCTAGGTGTTTTTACACAAATGAAGAACGAAATTGAAGATAAAGGATTATACTATATCCGTATTTTAGCACATTTTTAAACAAATTCCTTATTTTTAAGATGTTGATGGTCAAACCTCAACAAAATATTCCTTATGTTTGGACTAAATTTTCTCGAAAATAAAGACATAATTTAAAATTCCGTTACAATACGGAAATATTGATTACAGTGTGATTACAGTGATATATAATTTCTATGGTTTTGTAACAAATTGCTAACTATTTTTTGGCAAATGCTGAAGCTCTGCAAACCTTAATCAAGCCTTAGCCAAAGCATGTGTGTTTGCAATTATGGGTGTGGCTTGACACGACAGGATTAGGCAGATTTCTGAAATGCAATCCTGCTCAGTGGCGCATCTAGAGATTGAGTCTGGGAGGGGTAGTGTGAATATTCAAAAAGTACTAAATTTGAATTAAATTTTTGCTGGAAGGTATTGTAACTGTGGAAAAAAAATCTACTTTAATTGGTTTGGATATTCTGTTTTAATTTGTATTATTAACTTTTTTGTAACAATTTTATTTTATACCAAATTTTATCTTATTAATTAATTTCTTTTTTCTTAGGGTTCATAGTTTCATAGTTGTCGATTTTCGAAAGAAATCAGTACATGTATATTATATCGTATATTTTTCATTTTATTGATTTTATGGAAAGCACTGTTTATTAAAATGTTGTATTCTATGTTATAGGGCTTGTTTCTCTCTACAATTTCCTGTTTCACAATGTACCGTTTGTGTCCGGGAAGGGATCATAGTTTCATAGTTGACGATTTTCGAAAGAAATTAGTACATGTATATTATTTCGTATAAGTATTTTTGATTTCATTGATTTTATGGAAAGAACTGTTCACTAAAATGTTGTATTCTCTGTTATAGGGCTTGTTTCACTCTACAATTTCTTGTTTCACAATGTACCGTTTGTGTCCGAGAAGGGATCATAGTTTCATAGTTGTCGATTTTCGAAAGAAATCAGTACATGTATATTATTTCGTATATTTTTCATTTCATTGATTTTATGGAAAGAACTGTTCATTAAAATGTTGTATTCTATTTATAGGGCTTGTTTCTCTCTACAATTTCCTGTTTCACAATGTACCGTTCGTGTCGGGGAAGGGTTCATAGTTTCATAGTTGTCGATTTTCGAAAGAAATCAGTACCTGTATATTATTTCCTATATTTTTCATTTTATTGATTTTATGGAAAGTACTGTTCATTAAAATGTTGTATCCTATGTTATAGGGCTTGTTTCTCTCTACAATTTCCTGTCTTACAATGTACCGTTCGTGTCGGGGAAGGGATCATAGTTTCATAGTTGTCGATTTTCGAAAGAAATCTGTACATGTATATTATTTCGTATATTTTTCATTTTATTGATTTTATGAAAAGAACTGTTCATTAAAATGTTGTATCCTATGTTATAGGGTCCTGCTAGATTATATATACTTACGTGGATACGTAAATCACTATGGAAACTGCCGCAAACATATCAAAGACTTTCATTTATCTTCTTTTTTTGTTGCACACGCGGTGCTTCTACTCTATCTATCCTTGTCGAGTACCTATCTTCCGCGCGCCAAATTTGAACATTAATTTTAAAAACTTAATTTGTAAAATGCTTATATTTGAACAATAAATTGAATGTTTACTGTCACAAAAATTAAATTATATAAAAAAATACATTTAGCCACTTCGTACGAATAGCAATATACTTAGGAAATCTAACCAGAAAGTATGAATGTGGCTTAATATAAATAAAAGAACAACTGAATACCTACTTTACTTGCCTATGAAAAGATAATTCGGGGACCTTTATATTAGAACTTTCACACACTAAACGCACACTTTCTAGTCATTTGAACGAGTATTTAGAAAGTCCAGCGAAAAAAATAGAAATATAATTGCACAAACTTAAAATTAACTTCTCACTATCTACTCTAAAATCACTTCTGAACACACTTGCATCCTTGGCTATATAAAAGCAGTCGATTAAAGAGTAATTAATACAATTTTTAAATTAAAAAACGCAAAAAACAAGCGTCGTTACACAATGGAAATAAGATTATGACATATGATTATGACAATATGATTACAATGAAAAGTTGGTTTTCATAACAATGTATAATTTGTACTTTCTAAACCGTATAAAATTGTGATTATTTTCGAAATACGTGCAACTTTTAATTCGCATGCGCAAAGTACGGTCCTCGAGAAAAACAAACCTATTGAATGTTTCGTAAGTGCAATAAAGAAGGTTTGAAAATGGCATGTCGTGATGTTGGAGACGGATGATCTAGGAATATAATACCGTGCTGGCAACTGTTACTTTTGGGTAGGCATTTACATGTGTGGAAGTAAATCGCATAGGGATCTTATTAAGTCGGAGTGAGAGAAATGCGACCGACCGACCCGACGCGCGACGGTGTGCTGTTGCGGCGTTGCCGATACGCCTTTCCCTATCAAGTAAAGTAAAATCACGATAGCAAACCGCTTATTTTTAAAAGACTTTTTTTCAAGAGATAACTAGATAAAATCATTAGACATGTTTCTGAGCATCTGAAATGGAATTATAAGGATATCGTTAGGGTGTCATTTTTTTTATAACGAGAAAACGTCAGTAATAGCGATAATTTAAAAACTCAACTTTTTAACACAAGAACTTTAACACAAGGCTATAACTCAAGAACCACTTTAGATATTGAAACTTTATTTTGTTTTCAACATCGGATATTTTACAATATGTTTACATAAGAAAAATGCGATAAGGTTGTTTTTTCCATTCAAAAATTGTAAACAATCCATCCATTTACTTTTAGAGGATAGCAATTTTCAGCAATCGTGTAATTTTTTTATTGATAAAGATTTTCACATAACAAAGTCTGTCTACAAAGAGAATACAGCAGAAATATTAACAAAATTCTTGAAAAAACCACAATCTATTATTTCTAATAGATTTCGAGATATCGATTTTTGAATTCAGAGTTCTAATAGCGCGACCACCATCGAACACCTACTCAATTCCACTTATTTTTACCAAAAATGCAAGTGTTTCTAGCATGCACTTAAAAAAATTCAAGCTGTAGGGCTGTAAATTACAACGACTCGTTAATAAATAAACAAATTAAGTATCACGAGACGTAATTAAATCGTGAAGCTGAACGCATGACGTACCCCTTTCCCTAGAACTTTAAGTGTACTGACAGAGGTATTGATTGGGTCGACCGGTCAACTGCGACAAATCTGCTATATCCCCTTCCACGTCTCTTAGCGATGTGCACAGTTTCTCGGTTTATTTCATACGTTTGGCAACGTGTTTACTGTCCTCTCTTTGTTCAGTACATTATAAACGCCATTGTACTCTTCTTACATACGGAAATCTCGACCCAAGACTAACCTTTGCCCAGCCCTTAGTATATATTTCCTTCAGCCACACACCCGCTTTACCCGACCCCTGAGAGCAACCCGAAAGTACAGCGTAATAGACTCTTAAATAGCCCAACAGAGGGTTAAAAAAAATAACGGCAATTAAATTATGCTATACTTTTTGTTCGCAGTGTATATTTGTATCTCCAATATACTATAATAAAAATATTACTTATTGTAATCTCGCATGATATTTTTGGTGATATCTTTTACCGTATAATATATTTAGCGGGTTGTATGCAAACACTATAGACATAATCCCGGGCAATAAGGTAAGTATTAGCGACATTAATTAATCAATTAGCAATTAGAGTATCAGTCGGTGCCGCTCGGATGTCTGGTTAAGAAATGGGAGCCGGTATAACAAGGGTGAGATAAAAATTTTCGTAATATTTATGGAACTTTTTTGAGTATTTGTCAACAAATAATGTAATAATAAGAAAGTCTGAGTACTATTGTAATATTTGTGTTTATTTATATTTTAATAGTTTTCAATATTTTGGTTTTTTGAGTATCTCATTATTTTTGTTTGTTCTAAAATGGTTAATCCCGTTTATACTTTTCTAAATCTCCATACCGTTTTAGAGAAAATTAGAAAAAAACATGAAAATGTAGTTGAATCTAAAGCTTCATTCAGAACCTCCCAATTAGTGGAATAAATTTGTGGTTTCAATTACACTTTATACTTTTTAGTTTACGATCATTCACAATGTCTAAAAAACACAATTAAAATTCATAAAACTAGCTTTTTCCCGCGACTACGTTCGCGTTCTTGAATTGTTTATGCATTGATTTAAATGATTGTTTACTTATTTATAGATAGAGCTAGCGAACCTTACAAATGCACTATTTAAACTATGTTTTTAAGTTTTTCAGCTACTCCTATTTCATATGAAAGTTAGCAATTGTCGATTTTCTGGGTATTATACAGGGCGAGTCTTGAATAAGAGCAAATATTTTCAGGGCTGGTAGATCTCGATAAAAGAAACATTTTCTTTTTACCGTTTTTCAAATAACTCCAAAACCGTTAAAGTAAAATAACCGAGTTATTTTACTTTAAAAAATTCCAAAAAAGAAATATTTTTTGCTTAAATTTTGAGAACCACTGGAGCTTTTCGGGTTTTTCTGTCTAGTAAATTTAATCTACCTACAACCTATGTTGCCATGTTATCAAGAAATTATGGTTTTTAACTAAAAACTAAAAAGAAATCTAGAAAGTTAAATAATCTTAATAATTCTAGAAGTTGTTATCGAAATCAAAGTATTTCAAAGAAGTTCAATTTTGGCCCCAAAATGATTTGTGACTGAAACTAATTATGTATGGTTGGACAGAGGGTTGATGTGTTTTTTTATTTCTTAATAACGGGTATAGGGTGTTTTAGAAATCGAACCAAAGTCGAAATTTTGCAAAATCTGAAAATAGAAAATCTCTCGAAAATAATAAATACTGAAATGACTATTTACCCTCTATAGATCCAAACCAAACCCTACCTATGGTTCCATATAAACTGTATTACTAAAATAAATAGCTTTGACATTAGTTTCCAATTATCGCTTTTCTTGAATACTCCACCGATTTATTTTTATTTTTCAAGAGCACATATACCCTCTTTATACGTTATTTTTTATTCCTAGAAGGATGGTTTGAAGAAGAAATATTTCGCTCATATTATTGATGTCACTAAATAAACCCTTGTATAAAATTTTACACTTCTAGATGTTATATACTGTCCTCCATTCTCGAATTTCAAGTTCCAGTACTTTACGCCCTGGGCTACTCAGAACGGTTCTGAAAGAAGCTGCGCGCGATAGCCTAGGATATGGATATCCATATGGCGCGGAACAGTTCTGAACTTTATGACTCAATTGAATGGAGTGAAAGTATCGCGTTCTTGAACAGTTCAGGGCTGCACAACTGCATGAATGGAGGACAGTAATAATAATGCATTTTCATACAACAAACTTTCATTCCCTATTCTACTTCCTATGGGTATGAATTTCATAAATTCGCTATGTCCAAATAATTAACTCATGTCTTTTAAATAACACTTTGTGCAAATTTTTATGTGTATAATCCAGAGGTCACGAAGGTTTGAATTTGGTTGATGAATTTCAATAATCTCTTCTAATTCTTTCTGTAGAATTTCATTCTTCTAGACCAGATAGTAAGGAATTTTCATACAACAAATTGTTCGACATAATTTGATACTCTAAGAGGATGAATTTTCTAAAATTGCTTTGCATAACTAATTCACTAATCACTAATGTCCTTTAAACAAACCTTTGTGCTAATATTGATGTATCTAAAGCTGGTGGTATGAACTGACCCCTAAAATATCTAAAAACCTGATATATAATCTAAATGACACATCACTGACAATGACAAATAATTGATTTCTGGAGGTATTGTGTGTAGGTGTTTTTAAGGTGTGTTTTAATATTTAGTCATTTTACATAAAGAAATAGCGAGTCAACGATATAAAAATACTTCATAACAAATCTACACATATATACCTTTCATTTAAAAAAAGAATCATCAAGATTAGTGAAGCGGTTTTGGCGGGATGGATGTGACAAAAAACCCCTTGAGCTTTTATATATGTATGGATATCCCAGCAACAACTTGCGGTAGTCTGTTGTATCCATAGAGAAAGCATAATATTTAGCTATAAAACAATAAACTTTTGATTTCTAGCCAATAATTTTCTTGACGGGTGATCGCAAATTATGAAGTATAATTAGTGGAAAAGTCAAAGGTTTGTTAACTTTTTCCAATAATTGAAAATTACTACCGCTAATTATGACGTTCTGAATGCTTACATTAAAATTAGGCGAACAAACTTCTACGGCTAATTGAAACTACTAATTTATTCCACTGATTCCATGAATTTCATTCTTTGATAGATCATTATAATTAATTTTGATTAACGTCATATTTTTTATGATGTTAAAGTATCACATTTTCTGATAACTATTATCACACTTTCCGTAGCATTAAACTAAATAATTTTTGTGCTTGTCTAACATTTTAAAACAGCAAAAAATATGACATTAATTAAAATCCTGTCAATTATAATTTATCAAAGAATGAAAACGAAGTTCTATTACCATAGAAACGCGTTTAGATTTATAGGAGTTAAGAAAAATCAACTACATTTTTATGTTTATTTTTAATTTTTTTATTTTCTCTAAAACTGAATGGAAATTTGGAAAGTATAAACGGGATTCACTTCAACCAACCAACCATAAACGGGATTAATCGTTTTAGAACAAGCAAATTTTTTTATGAAGAACGGATTTTTCTCAAAATGTCAATAATAAAACAGTTTTTCTTCTTGTTAAGACAGTCCGGGGACATACTGTACAGGGTGGTCGAAATTGGTCTGTTTTAGCAGAGTAAACCTAGTTTCTGACTAGATAGAGCAAAACCGACATAGATGTTATGGGCTCGATTTCTGAGACACGTTTAATGGCGTAAACTTTCTGTTTATATTTTCACTGCCTACTGAGATACGGGGTCTTTTTGAATTTTTTACCATTTTGAAAATTGCCCATAACTTTTTTATTTCGCGGAATAATACAATTCTGTAAAAACGTTCTTAAGGCACTTTTTTAAGCACAATCCAGTGGCGTAGTCAGTTTTTTTCTATACATGCTCTTTTTATCAGAAATAATAAAAAATATAATTTTTTAAATGGAAATCATAGTTGGCTATGAACTTAAAAAATGCTGGCGTTTATCCCTTTCTAACGATATAAAGTTATGTGTATTTATTTCTAAGAATGAGAGGAATATTAGGTTTTTTTTATCTTTGTATCGAAGCGGGCCTTGATTTTGTGTTGACCTAGTTGCCTAATTATTTTTTATCACAATTTAATATTCTATATTGTTATTTATCTGCATAATTAAAAACTTTTGAAAAGGTAAATCAACATACTATATTAGTATTACAAATTACAATTAAAACGCCAGGGTTACAACTGAACTATTAAATGGAGAATTTAGAGAGAATTGGGTTGGAACAAGGGGCCTATATCTTGGCCTGCTAGGTCCTGTGATTTAACTTCTTTCGACTTTTTTATGGGGGAAATTAAAAAACCAGTTCGCCTAATAAATCGTTGTAACTGTGGGCGCAAAAGATGTTTATTGTGTATTAAACAAGGAGGTGCTCTTTGATTTTAGAAAACTATATTCGTCACTCAAAAAATACGTTTTTTAGTTTTATTCTTTGTTTATTATTCTTTGTATCGATTTAAGTTGTAATTACTAATACTAATATTTACTATTACTAATAATAATAGAATGTTAATTTACCTTTTCAAAAGTCTTTAATTATGCAGATAAATAAGAATATAGAATATTAAATTGTGATAGAAAATAATTAGGCAAATATGTCAACTCAAAATCAAAGCCCGCTTCGATATAAAGATAACCACCCTAATATTTCTCTCATTCTTAGAAATAAATACCCATAACTTTATATAGTTGGAAAGGGTTAAACGCCATCATTTTTTTAACTTCCTAGCCAACTACGATTTTCATTTAAAAAATTATATTTTTTATTATTTCTGACACAAAGAGCAAGCATAGAAAAAAACTTACTACGCCACTGGATTGTGCTTAAAAAAATGCCTTAAGAACATTTTTACAGAATGTTATTATTCCGCGAAATAAAAAAGTTATGGACAATTTTCAAAATGGTAAAAAACTCAAAAAGACTCCGTATTTCATTTGGCAGATGAACAGGCGATTTACGCCATTAAACATGACTCAGAGATCGAGCCCATGACACGAGCCATGACATCTATGTTGGTTTTGCTCTATCTAGTCAGGAAATAGGGTTTCTCTGTTAAAACAGACCAATTTCGACCACCCTGTACATATAAAATTAAATTAATTTATTATTTATCCTGTTTTTTTAAGTTTTTCGAAATTTTTAACTTGAATATAAATTCATAATATGTAATAAATGAAGAGAAAGTCAATCGAAATCTTCTAAAAGATTCTTGGAATTTCTTGATTTTATCTTATTATACTTTTATTTTACTTTACTTTATTTTGTAATTTTCTTTACCTTGTTGGACAATATTTGACAATTTGACATATTAGCTCAAGACACGTAAATTAGTTTTTTTTATTACATAAAGGGGATATTTTTGATTTTTAAAATATTTGCAATAGTGACCATAAAACTAATATGCCTTAATTTTATTAATGTTATTTATTTATCCCCGTTATCTTGAATATAAATAAAAAGCCTAACAACCGGTGTTATAGGTAACTATAATTGACGTCATATCGCCAAAAAAAAATCATGTTATACACCTAAAGATAGATCAAGTATCCTAAATGACAATATGACAAATGCAAATAATTTTTTGAGTATATTATTAGTTTATCGGTAATTACGGAAATTTTGCTTTGTTTCTATGCGCTGGATTATGTTTTAGTTGATAAAAAATATTCAAAAATGTATTCTTTGTTAATCCAAAGCAAAATTCTGCATTTTATAATTTATCCCCAGATTACAAACTAGAGTCTTCAGAGGATTTTGTTTTAGATATATGAAATACACAATTAACAAAAGGAGCAGATAATTATTATTACATCTTAGATTGTTTGATCGAATCTTAGATAGTTGTTTACTAATCTAGTAGCTTTGGTGATTGTGCTTAAATTGTTTTGTTGAAAGATAATTTTGGAATAATACAACAATTTAAGATGAAGATTTTACCATTTTTTAGATTGATGACTCAGAAAGAAGCAACGTCACTGAAGATTTTCTCAGAGTAATTGAAGTAAACAGACACGTACACTATTGGTACATATTGATAATCTCAGTTATTGCAGCTATTGGAAATATATTGGTAATCAGATCAGTATCTATAAGGTATGATTGTACGTAACTTATTCTAGTTTCACATGTTACAATATGTTTTTTCTGTTGCAGAAAATATAAATATCTTCAGAAAACATGCATGATATCACTGGCTTTGTCGGATCTCTTGACTGTTATTCTTTTTGCAATGAATTACCTGGACCTTCTAGGAAAAGAGTTAATAACATGGGTAATTTTATTATATTTAATTATAAAAAGTAGCGGAAATACTTACATTTATCTTTAGCATAGTTTTAGTTAATTGGTATAACAGATTAATACCAAAAACAGTAATTCACCACAATACACTCAGAAGTTTTAATCATTTCCTCATGATGCTGTAACGTTTTCTTGACACAATGCAAACGGCAGCTTTTCGTCTTTGCGAGCAGTCGTAGGTTCGTTTTTTTTATTATTTTTTTATTAGGTGTTATAATTAATCAATAAAACAATAATTATTGGGCGCCAGGACATTCACTCAGAAATAACAGATCTCTTTACCCCAACTTAAATTTATTTATAATTAAAAAAATTTTAGACAAGGACAGCAATTGATGGATGAAGTTAGGTTTTTAAAATGAATTAATAATTAAGAATAATAAGTAATTAAAATTTAAATGTATGACATAAAAAAAATAGTATTACTTGTTCTGTTGATTAAAAATCATTGACATATTAATATTAAATTACGCAAAATAAAGTTAAATAAGTACCTCAAACTAACGCAGTTCATGAACCTTGTTGTGTGCGCACATAATTCCGTGAATCAATCAAAAGTTAATTAAATAAATATGTCAAGTGACACCATCACAAAATACTTGACAAGATATTAAAATATATAAAAATTTGTATATTTAAAATTAAGAAAATTATATTTTAATAATGAAATCCAAAAATGATATCTAATAATTACATAATTAATTACGTAATTCGTCAACAGTAAGTAAATAGATTTGAAATGAGTTAATCAAAAAATATGAAATCTGGCCTGATTATCCGGTGCAATTCCAGGCTTTGGCTCGTCCTTCTGGTGTGTGAACGCTAGGTGTGGGAGCTCATCCCCAATGTACCACAGCCTCGAACAGCCCCTTACAATACCAACAGCCATGTGGAAATCAAACATGGATCATAGATACAGGCTCTCGTACCTCAAACCACCAGTCACGACATATAATTCGCCATGTAACTGGACGGTAAAACCCTAGAAACGACACAACTTATGCACAAAATGCATTTTAGAAATTTTAGAACTTACCTCACGATGCTGAGGGTTTACTCAAAAATTAAACTCATGACAGGACAACGAAAACTACTTTTAGAAAATCTGTAAAGAGATAAGGTTGAACCAAAAGAATAAAAATATGATGAAGATCAAACTTACCACAAAAATACCCATGAAATCTTAAAATTGATTCCTTCCCCAAATGCCAGGAACCATTAGACCTACATTTCAAAGGTTAATAGGGTAAAAAGGTTGAAACTTTTTCGGATGACTTCAGATAAGTATGTCGATGTTTAAGCCACGAAATCTGAATCAAAAATGGTGACTTCCGATAGTCAAAAAGATGCTCTAGTTCTGCGCCGACAAGGGCAAGTACGATCAACAGAGTGTCCGAAATTAGTCAGAACTAATTCGGTAGGGTGTATGTTGGGTTGCCAATAGTATCGTTTTATTAAAACGTTACAATGCTAATGGTTAAAGTAAAAGTGTTTTGGTGTACTTATTGTGGTTAATTAGTGTTTTATTTTTCTGTTGTAAGAAGTGTTGTTCAAAGATTCCAAGCCCGAATGTGGCTAACTTATAAAAATTATATTTAATATGTTTACAGTCTTTTGGTGAATTTATGTGCCATGCTCTTCCTGTTGGACAAGTTGTTGGAAATTTAGCTAGTTCTATCGCACTCGTGGTGATTGCATTAGATAGGTACCACAGTATCATTTATGCTCTAAGCAAAAAATGGAATCCTTCTTGGCGGAAATGTTTAGTAGGAGCAGTAGTACTTTGGATAATATGTATAGGTAAATATTTTTATTATTAAATATGGTGAAATTAGTTGACTTCATTAAATTTTTCTCATTTTCTCTCATTTCTCATCTCATTTTCCCTACAGAATCTGCATTCGCCGTTGTTTCTTAGCTTTAAACTACTGAGGTGTTCATTCAGAATCAATTTGTCATACTTTAATATCAAATTTCTATACTATTTACGATTTTGTTACTTGTTGCACAGAAGATCTAAGCAGATCAAAATGATAGAAGACCACTAGTTAGTAAATTAATAAAATTTAGCTACAATAATAAATTACCTAAAGTGATAACTGTTACTAAAATGTTATAAATACTCAGATTGCCTATGGCTAAAATATATAGTTTTAAAGTATTATAAATAGTCATTTGTAAACGAAAAGTGGATTATTCTATAAAATATTATATTTTAGGTATATCATATCCAATGGCAACTTTCTATTTCCACATACCTTTACGCATTCCAAGTGGCGATGTATACCTCTGCACAGGAACTACAGTATCAAGAAACTGGATTAAAGCTTACTATGTGATCATCAACATGCTGTTCTTCTGTCCAGTCATAAGCATGTTTTTCTGGTTTTATTTCAAAATAGCAGTGATCGTGTGGCGACATAGAAAACCCATTTCTGACAAGATGGCCGAAAGGGCTGATGATTCTGAGAATATTTCTTGTAGCAAGATCAGTAATGATGCTCCCATAAAAGTAATTGCCAGACCAACTCCAAAAAGGAAGAACGTCCATATGGAACGAAAAAAACGAACATTTAAGATAGTAATTATATTGATTTTTGCTTTCATCGGCTGCCGTATGCCCTACTGGTTGTTTTGGGTGTACAAAATGTATTTTGTGAGCAGAGGAAACACAATATGGACATTAACTTTGATTTTTACAGGGTTAAATCTATTGAATTGTGCTATGAATCCATTTTTGTATGCATACCTGAACCAGACTCTCTACGCCATAAAGAAATTAAAAGAGTTTGTCTGTAAAATATGTTGCTGTTGTTTCACAAACGCGGAATTTGAGGATTTCGAAACAGGGAAACCCGTCGTTGAGGGTGTTATGGGGTATAAAAATAGGTGTGCTACCATAGAACAACGGTTAGGATCGAGTGAAAAGTTTCCACAAGCGCCTAACTTTCAAAAATGTACATTAACAGAAAAGTTTTAGTAAATAATATTTTACTCACTGTCTTTATCATTAATATTTTCAAACTAATATAATGAGGTAACAATTGATTATATATTATTTATCTTACTTATATTAATGTATTAGGAAACAAATAAAAAAAACACAAAGATTAAAATAATATAGGTTGCCACACGCTTTAGAGAATGTATTAGATGCACAAAATATTTATTTTTTATAAATAAACAAAAAAATACTTTAATTCGTTAAGTTTAAAAGTAAAATATCACAGAAAGATAAAATAAATTATTGTTAAAATATTGGTTTTATATTTTCCTTGTTTCAGTTTTATTCATTATACAATAATTAATATAATAATTTTTGATATCTACAATCAATTTATACCCTCTGGAGTATAGATAACTAATATTAAGTTTGCACTATTACAATCTACCTTAGATTAGGCAGCGCAAATCAAACCATATCAACCATATCGATATCATGATATTTTAAAAGATATAGATAAAATCATTATACGGAAATTTTATTAAATTAGATTAAATTTAGTACAGTATATATTCGTATAGCCATTAGGTACAGCTGCTGTATTGATTTATTTCCTTTAAATAAATAATAAAACCCTTATTCTTATCGAATAATTTATTGATGTCAATACCATTTGGCCAGTGGCGTACATAAGTCAAAATATAAAATAAAATACATATATAAAACACAATTAACTTAAAAATTAACACAAAAGACATAAAGTTAAGACCATCATATTAGATGTGGGATGTGGGTACACAATGACAATTACTCTAGTTAATACACTGTAATATAAACATAGGGTGGGAGTTTCCAGTTCCCACATTCTGTTGTAGAAGGAATTTCTATCAAGTGAGATTAATATGTATATCACTTGAAAGAAACTCCCTCGAGTCATACAGTGGATTTTCAAGCAACCAGCCCTTAAACACCTTATCGGACAATAGTTTATACCCATCCGGGAGTTTATTGTAAAACTTCACACCCCAGTATCTAGGTCCATCTCGAGACCTTTCTAACCTATGTATAGGGATACTCAGGTGCTCCGCCCTACGAGTGTCATGAGAGCCGTGCTGAGCATTTGTGGGATATTTTTCCGTATTGGCTTATCACATATAATAGATTTTCCAATATATAAAGATTTGGGAGAGTAAGTATATTTAACATCTTAAAGGTTTCCCTGCAATCATCCCTGTAGCCCAATCCTCCGACAATTCTCACAGCCCTCCTCTGAAGCGCGAAAACCCTGCGCCACTGAGCACAAAACAGCGTAGGACATCACAGAATGAAAAAGAGCGTAGTAAGCCGTCCGCAATATGCAACAGGAAACAGTACCTGACAAATTACGCAGAACGAAGAGCGCGCTTCTTAGCTTCTTGCATAGTTGCTCAATATGAGCATTCCATCGCATTTCACTGTCCAACTGAACCCCTAAAAATGGAACAGATTCCCTGGAGAAGCGATAGTCCTCAGGCACACTCCTCAAAGAAAAAATTACACGATTTGTTTTGACCTCATTTAAAACTAGGTTATTTTTCCGGAACCAGTCAGCCGCCCTCGCTTGGGCGTCATCCGCGCCTCCCTCTAGGTCTTTTAGCTCTTTTCCTCTGACCGAAACCGCTGTATTATCTGCGAACAAAACGTAGTGGTCGTCACGTCGGATATGTGGTAAGTTGTTTATATAAATCAAAAAAAGTAAAGGGCCCAGTACTGAGCCTTGTGGGACACCATTTTTAAGACGTCTTGGGTTCGACCACACACCATCAACGACCACCCTCTGTATTCTGTCCTCCATGTAGGATTTCAAAAGGGCAACACTACCCTCACTAAATTTATAATAGTCGAGTTTTTTAATGAGCAACTCGTGAGACACATAATCGAAGGCTTTACTTAAATCGCAAAATACCGCGCCAACATGTTCCCTACCCTCAAAGCCATCCAAGATGAATGACACGAGGTCCAGAACAGCCAGCACAGTGCTGCGTCCGGACCTGAAGCCGAACTGTTGGTCGTTCAGCAATAAATTCTCTTCAAGGAATAACGCCATTCTTGAGGCCATACATTTCTCAATGATTTTTGAAAAAACAGGAAGCAGTGAAATCGGACGATAATTAGATATATCATTCTTGTCCCCCTTTTTGAATACCGGTACCACAACAGCCTCCTTGAGACAACATGGAAAAATGCATTCCCTAAAGAACAAATTAATTATTTTTGTTAGCGGTATAAGGATAAGCTCTCTTATCATCTTTATAATCCTAACACTGAACCCAAATTTGTCACGCGAATCTTTATTCTTTAAGTTAAGTATTACGTCCCTAACCTCATTAAAACCCACATCTCCGAATTTGAATTCCTCATCCGGCAGATGAGTAATCCGAAATGGAATATCCTGTGTAGAACACTGTCCATTTCCGACCAAGACATCCGCCACACTAGAGAAAAAATCATTAAATGCATCGGGACCAATTGTCATTGAGGGATTTTGTTTCTGTTTGTTTGCACGGTTGTTATTCACGATTTTCCAAATACTTTTTGACTTATTTGCTGATTTATAATTCAGTATTTAAAAAAAGGCCATCTCACAACTATCCACTTAGGAGCACGATCTTTATCTGCCAATCCCGACCTCAGAACTAGTTAAATTCTCAATACTGTACAATGCCAAAAAAAAAATGTACAATAATCTGCCTTTGAATATCAAGTCGCTTTCATTCTTTCCCGCATTTCGCAAAGCTCTGAAATCATACTTACTGGGGAGAGCCCTATATGCGGTAAACGACTTTTTTGTTGATGTTTAATCATGAAAAATTTTGAATTTTAAATTTTGATCATCTCACACACTGGTTAAAGGTCTAGTATTTAATATTTAATATTTTATAACTCTTACATGATTATATCCATTTACAATTTTCCTATTGTAAAATTTTATTGACACGCCTTTTTTTGTGTTCTGCAATGTCCATGTATGTTCTATTTGTAATTTTAATGACTTATTTTTTTTGAATTGTATGATTTGTATTGTATATTTTTTGTGATTTTGTTTGTTTTGTAAATGCTTTGTCGATGAAGCTATTTTGGCTTTTTGGACAATAAAGCGTTTTATTTATTTATTTATTATTAGTATTAGTAGTTACTAAAGGCTAATACCGTATGATCGAATAAAAACGGCGTCAACGATGGAATGAAACGATGTCAACGATGGAACATGAAATGAAGATCGCTGTCATTTTATATGTAAAATTATATGGGAAATGTCATCGATCGTCATTTCCAAGCCAACTGGACGCCGTTTTTTTTCGATCATACGGTACTACCAAACCACAAATTAAACTAAAAAGTTTCTTAGTTTAATTTTGTATTTACATCTTATTTAGATATACATATAACAGTGATTTATTATACAGGGTGAGTCTTAAATAGGTGCAAATATTTTCAGGGCTGGTAGATCTCGATAAAAGAGATACATTTTCTCTTTACCGTTTTAAAATAAGTCCAACATTTTTAGAGAGTTAATTTATTTTATTTTGAAAAGTTATTTTGTTTTATAAATTTAAAAAGACTAGATTTTTTCTGAAATTTTGAGAACCACTTGACCTTTTCTGGGTTTTCTTACTTGTAAATTTAATCTATCTATGTTGCCATATTCTCAAGAAATTATGTTTCTAACTAAAAAAAAATCTAATTTTTTTTTCAAAAAATTCCAAACTTTTTTCAAAAAATTCCAAACTTTTTTCAAAAAATTCCAAACTTTTTTCAAAAAATTCCAAATTTTCAAAAATATTTTTTCGCGAAAAAAACCTCATAGACGTGTTTCTGGGGTCGAAATTAGGGAATGCAATCCCGCACCAAAATATCAATCCCGCAAACCCGCGGGATTAAAGCAATCAATCCCGCGGATCCGCAAAATTGCGGGACTGTAAACAATAGTCATACATTTGGTCCTAAATGGTACAAATGGTAAATGGTACAAAGCCTAATATTTTGCATAGGCCCACAATATATTGATATAGCGTGTACCTTAAACTAGCTGTACAGAAATTTGGACACCGATGTATACAGGGTGTTCAAAAAATATATTTAAAATTAAATAAACTTAAATTTTATTATAATTTATCTACTTATTTTATAAATAAAAATATTATTCTGATTGAAGTTTTTTTTAACTTGTGTTAGTTATCTGCTTTTAGATACACTCTATATCAATAATTTTTTGACATATACAGAATGTACTAAGCTTTTTGTACCATTTAGGGCCATACATATGACTAAAAATGCATATTTTTCGAAAAAACGTCGTATTTTCCTTAAAACAAAAAAAAAATAAAAAACCGATCAAATTGTTTTTTTCTAATTTCAATACAGATTCGTCGTACTTGGTAAAAATTTCGATTTTTTTAAAATTGTAAATTTGCGGTAAAAAAGATTCTTGATCAAATTTTCACACTCTTATAAAACACCCTGTATACGAGAATTCGTTAAATATATTTTCGAAAACCACATCAGCAATCACAATAGATTCATTTAAAATCTAGTCCAAACCGCATCCCAAAATCTTTTTTAGTTCAAGAGATATTCAACTTTAAATTTACCCTAAAATTTTGCTTGTCCCAATAATTATGTCCGGCAATGTATTTGACGAAATTGTCCACAAGTACTATAAACGCATTTCTTCACTTACGCACATACGCCAGAAAGAAATCTAAGAACTAGCCTGTTTGTTTCACTTATTTTTAATGGCCAAGCCGTAAGGGGAATCCCCGAGTTCCGAGCGTCGGCGCATCGGCCCGGAACGAAGCGGTTTGATCTTAATCGAGATCGATTCAGTAGTAATGTGTTGATCCCGCGGATCCCGCACGGTAAATCCCGCAACTTTGATCCCGCGAAATCTCGGAGGGATCCCGCATTTGCGGGATCCAGCATTTGTGGGATTGCATTCCCTAGTCGAAATATACTACCCCTAAAAATATTTGCACTTATTTAAGACTCACCCTGTATATTTTGACATTGCTTTAAAACTAAATTCAAAAAATAAAGTAAAAAATGCAAAACTTAAATATTGTCAGCCGCAAATAAAAAGTAAGAAATATACTCAAAACTAACTAACCAAACTAAATTTAGACAAAAAATCACCCCCCCCCCATGTAGTTTTTTTTATTAAAATCTATATTTTTCTTTTTTCTACTTCTAGCATTTGTAGTATAACCCGTGAATCAACAGTGTTTTTTTTATAAATCTGTTTCATGATGATTCTGTAAATACTGATAATAAGCGATTCAGAGTACTTAAGATTAAGAACTTTTGTTATTTAAAATTCCATATTGTTTGACCATAATGTTTCCTCTAAATAAATACCAGGGGCAACGGCCTAGCTACGTTGAAACACCGGTTCCCATTTTACCGAAGTTAAGCGACATAAGACGATACTGGTGGATGGACGGGTGACCGGTTCGAAACTCTGTATCATGCTGTTGTTCAAGGGAAAAGTGTAAAATCTATTGATACACACTGCTCATTCGCGCCGGTTCGAGGCCGGATGAGATCGGATATCTCGTGAGTAAGAGTTCATTTAGACACTTTCTAAGTCGGTAGGCCTTTGGCCATGATATGGCCGAGGACCGCGGTTCGGATCGAGCGTAAACAAAGTAGGCCCCGTCCAAGCAGCAAAAATGAGACTTTAACTGAAATTTTTACTTTACTTTACTTTTAAATAAATACCATTAGTCTTTATCAAATTTAAATTTCTATAGCTTAATAAAGACAACTGTAATTCCAGATGTTAGAATAAAACCCAAATTATTTTTCAATACGGATTTATTCGACAAGAATTTAGAGTAGACACTGGAAGTATGTTATATGACAATGATCTTCCTTTCTCTTTCCTGACTGATACCAACACACTGTAACTTCTTCCTGGTTTTAAATTACTGATTTTTTGTGTTATTATAGGCCTTAAATTCAAAACCAATATAATTAGTTTATATCAACGAGCAACACAAATGGACTTACTGGTCTTCGTAGGTAGTTGTATGAAAACATCGTTTCCAGGCAAAATCTAAAGATTTCCTTAATCTGTTTTCTAGTCCACATTGGTTTGGTTGGTTGTACTCTTCATTTTCTTTCACATTGCCTTCTTTCACCACTAAGCAATACGTACTGTTGTAACGATCTAAACAAATTCAGCACTGTTAGTACTTTTTTTAGACCATATTTGGCGGAATAATCAATACCGTTTAGTTAAAGGTTCGTTTAAAAGAAAACTATTAAAGAGAATATTTGATATATGATATGAATAGACATCACATACATACAATATTAAATATTCAGTGTAGAATTGTCTACAAGTGTAAGTTAATAAAAATCAGTCAATTATTTTCTGAAATTTGCAAAATATATTGGACAAAACCAACTTTAAAACAGCCTCTACAGTATTCCTGAAATGTTTTACGAAATATTTCAGGAAATATTTCCTGAAACATTTCGCAAAACATTTCTGGAAATAGTATGGTAAATACAGGGTGGCTCACCTCATTCGCCTCGGTTGTGAAAAGTTATATTTTTTCTTATGGAACACCCAATATTTTATTTCATTTTTGGATTCTTGGACCCAAAAAAGGTATTTATTATAAGGGTTAAATATGTTTAAAATCTTTGGTTTTTGAGATATTGAAAGATATTTAAATTTGCATGCTACAATAGAATAGATTATTAACACCCACATTAACATTACATTTCAGAATTAGCTCTTGTGATGGGTTTAAAGGTAGAGAAATAAACTTTACAGAAAAATGTTATTCCTTTCTTAAATGTATACAGGGGTATCAAAAATTGCTGGTCTATTTTAAATATTTATTTTACATAAAAACTTCGTTATTTTAAATGCAACACTATGTATTTCTTAAATAAGTCGAAGCAGATTTAAATGCTCTTTCAAACTATATTAGGGTTTCCTATACCTATCTGGCTCAGATTTTTAATAAAAAGCGATTTTTCAATAAAATTGTAATCAAGATGGCTAGTATTATTGTCATGGCAAGTTTCTAGTGACAGTTAGTAGCTATTTTCAAAATCGAAATTAGTTTATCGACTTATTTAAATTTATACCCAGTTTACTTTTATTTAATTTATTTACAATAGTTTAATAAATAATATTTATTAAATATGTGTTTATTATTCTATCAAGAAAAACGAAGAAGTAGTTTTTGAATTATTTTACTATGACTTGTAGATACATGGATATTCTATAAAAGAGCCAATTACGGCAAATTCATTTTCTTAACTTCCAACGACAGATTTCTGCCTAATAAGTTTTTTATAAACCACACTACCTGGCGAAATAGAACAAGAAGTTTTTCAAAGAAGCTCTTATCAGGAAGATTCTTATTTGGATATCTTTGAGAATAAGCCCTTGAGACCAAGAAGCAATTTTCCTCACAAAATAATATCACTAGTAACATATCTATTCGTTCTGCCAGCAGATACTGCTTTATTTTTCTTGATATAATAATGAATATTTTCTTATTAAACTATTGTAGGTAAATTTAAGTAAACTGTAATAAATTATAAATAATAATGTCCATAAACTAATGTCGACTTTGAAAATAGTTACTAACTGCCACTAGAAAATTGCCATGGCGACCCCAGCCATCTTGATTACAATTTTATTTAAAAATCGCTTTTTATTCAAAATCTGAGCTAGATAGGTATAGGAAACCCTAATATAGTTTGAAAGAGCATCTGCTTCGATTTATTTAAAAAAAATACAGGGTGTTACATTTGAAATAAAAAAGTTTTTATATAAAATATATTCTTAAAATAGATCAGCAACTTTTGATAGCCCTGTATAAATTTAAGGAATCAATACCATTTTTCAGTAAAGTTTATTTCTCTACCTTTAAACTCAGCATAAGAATTAATTCTGAAAAGTAATGTACACGGTATTAATAGTATATTCTATTGTGGCATGCAAATTTAAATATCTTTAAATATCTCAAAAACTAAAGATTTTAAACATATTTATACCTTATAATCAATGCCTTCTTCTGGGCCCAAGAATCCAAAAATGAAATAAAATACCGGGTGTTCCATAAGAAAAAATATAACTTTGGTATGGATCTTAGTTCTGAAACACCCTGTATATTTCAAAATAATTTTAAAGTGTGCACATTGTCTCTCCACATATACTCCTAAAATATTTTGTTTCTATATCTTTCCGTTTTCGTATAATCAACCGAGGCGAATGAGGTGCGCCACCCTGTAATATAAGCTCGTGTTATAAAAATTAGCTTCCCACGTTTCCTGAAGTAGATCGAGACCCGCCGTGATTGGTTGTTTGTTTTCTATTGCTAACCCAGGTTAACAATTAAACCATCTAATGGGAAACTAATTTTTATAACGTTGCGTTTTTTTTGCATCTGACCGCAAAATAACTAGTGTAAATCTGAGTGTAATTAGTGTAACTAGTGTGAAATCTTACCTAGAGTTGGCATCCAACCGATGGTCACACTGTCGCACTTCTTCATCGACTCATATTCAATCACTGATATGTTTTCTGGCATTGTAGGTATAGGAGAATACAGGTATGACCTAGTAGTAGCAAATATCTTAAAAAAGAAAATACGCCTAAATATGTAAAATTTTCTGTGTTTTAGTCAAAAAAGTTATCAAAAAAGGCCCCCAATTTAATGGCTCTTCCTATACAGAGTGGGCCTTAAATAAGGGCAAATATTTTTAGGGGTAATATATTTCGACCCCAGAAACACGTTTATGAGTTTTTTTTCACGAAAAATAGATATTGTAGATTTGGATTTTTTAATTTTTAGTTAAAATACATTTTTATTTAAACTACATCTCCGTAATATGGCAACATAGATAGTAGATTAGAGAGAAAACCTAGAAAAGATCCAGTGGTTCCTAAAATTTAAGAGAAAATATATTTTTTTTAATTTTGAAAGTAAAATATCTCGATTATTTTCGACATATATGAAAAACGGTAAAGAGAAAATATGTTTCTTTTATCGAGATATACCAGTCCTGAAAATATTTGCACTTATTTTAGACTCTGATATTGACTGAAATAGATAAAAGTTTATCGATTCACAAACTAAAAGTATATTGATCAACAATCTTATTAATAATGTGTTATAAATATGAGAGGAAATTATTAAAGTATTACGGTAAAAAATAAAATTATAACTTTATTCACCAGTAATTATAAAATAGGTTAACTGGATATTTATACCTATACAAAAGTGCTTGGTTAGAGAGCATCAATCAAAAATATAGCCAAACATTAGTTTTTATTTTATAAAGCTTATTATCATTTAACAACATTCCAAATTTTCGCCTACTAGATTTTAACACTTCCATAGAAGCTTCATAAAACCATTATTTTCAAATATTATTTGAAATTTCTATTTTTTCAATTTCTATTATAATAAATATAACAGAAGGATCTTTTAACGAAAAAAAAAAATCAGTGGTTTGTGAAGTTGCAAAACATATCTGCTTGAATTTACGTAGGGGGTTAGGGCAGATTTTCTCGTACTCTCTCTGTTTTTGTTGTGGAAGTCAAATTTTAAAGGTCCTAGTAAAACATAGTTATAAAACTCTGGATCAAGGAAATGTAGAACATCCACTGGAGAAACAGAGAGGGGCACAGGCATAGCAAAGTCTTTATCCAAGGACCTAGCTCTAAAACCGCAAAAGAACTGCTAATTCTTAGACAACAGGCCTCTTGACAGGACACATGGCTGTCAAGTGTTACCTGAACAACCTCAACCTGTATCGAGGAAATCTTTGATGTAGACTCTGCGATAAAGATCCTGGAACAGCGGAGCACATAATATGTCACTGAGAGGCTCTGGATCAAGCGACACTTTTTATTTGGGAAAGCTAAGTTAGAACCAGAGGAACTATGCTCCCATCCTATCAAGGACCTGCATAAGTTAGTGCAGGGTATAGGGATAGGAGAATGGGTGCAGATATAGAAAGGGGACAAACACAATAGGCCTCACAGGTCGCAGTGTTTCCGGCAGAGGACGGCCCCTTGTTATTGAAAAAAAAACATAGTTATACAAAATCTCATTCAATCTGGAATATCGAGTCTTAAAATTTCTTAAAAAATGTATTTGGCTTTTAAAAATGGATGCCCTCTAACGGACTGTATATCAAAATCAGACAAAAATATTGAAATGGCAATGCCTTAGGGTGGTTCTATGACTTTAATTGGAATCATCCCCTAATTTAATTTCAAAAATATTTTTTTCTTATATTAGATTTATATACCTCCACTCCTGTATTGGTAAATTCATTTTGTGGTGCAATCACTTTCACAATATATCTATTTCCTTTCGTTACATTATTTATGGTTATGTTTTTAAATCTGTCTATCCTAATTTGTCGAAAAACAGTCTTCTGTTTGAGCCTAACATCTAAGTAAATGTAACTTCCACAAGGGATAACGTAGAGATGCAAATGCTTTCCAGACTTTCTTCCCACCTAAAAGCTTTAGTCTAAAAATATATCTTTATAAAAGTAGTAAATTTATACGTATAAAATGTATGAAGTAATAAGTTCTTCTAAATAAATAAACAAAACAGAACTTCACAAACCTTAAACCTGAAAATTGCTTTGTTGTCGATTCTTCGTGCGCTGACAAATTTACCATCTTTGAGTGGGATGAATTTGTCTTTTGAATCAAATTTTTTCGTTGTTGAATCCAAGAGATACGTGAAATTTGATTGCTTGTTGAGGGCAAACAGATCAAAGTAATAAGTGATTCCCTCGTTGATATTAGGAATTTTGATTTGAGTTTTGCGCCCGACGCATTCTAGGAATGAATTAGGCTTTCCTGGAGTAAGAAATAAAATATAGTGACCGGCACAAAAAACAGAAACCTTAAAATTTTTAAGTAAGTATAAAGTATTTTGAAGTTTATTACATAATACATTTTGTTATAGTGGTCCGATTTTGATGCTTAATGGAATTTGTAGTTAAATTATTACGCTTTATTCATAACCTCGCAATTAGTTATAGCTATTAATTATTAGCGTAGAAGTTTGTTTTCTTAATTTCAATGTCAGCATTCAGAACGTAAAATTAATGTTACAGATTTTAACTTTTCCACTAATTATACTTCAAAATTTGCGAGAAATGTCATTTTGGCCTTTGATTATCTTCCGTTAACAGAAATTGTAGTTAGAAATCAAAAGTTGATTGTTTTATAAGCTAAATATTAGGTTTTTTCTATGCATACAACTAACAAGCTGTTGTTAGGATTTTCTATTATTTTTAATTATTGTGTTTTTTAAACATTATGAATGATCATAAACTAAAAAGTATAAAGTGTAATTAAAAGCACTAATTTATTCCACTAATTGGCTAGGTTCTGAATGAAGCCTTAGAATTATTACACTCTTTTTGAATTAAAAATTAAAGTTCTTTGGCAAAAGTTTGAAACACCCTGTGGAATGGTTTAAAATAGGACAGAATTTAGAAAATCCCTTTATCATTAATGTGTATCCTCTCCTGATATTTTGTTTTTAGTGTAATTGAAACCACTCATTTATTCCACCAACTGCGAGGTTCTGAATGAAGCTTTACTCATCTCAATAGTTTATTTTGTTGTTTATATTCGCTTTACAAGAACACAGTAACGATTAATAACAATTTCAGCATTAAAACATGGCTTTGATTTTGATCCTATCAACATACCCATTAATTAGTGATTATTATTTTTGGAATGTTAGTTACTACTCCAGAAGATAGAAAATTCCACTTCTTCAACTCCCAGTGGGTGGCATTCCAGGAATGTACTTTGAGAAACACCTCACTGTAGTATTGAGCAATAAAAAGGATTGAAAAAGAGAAACGCTCAGCATGTAAAAGACCATATTAACGTGGTATACTGATGTTTCCAAAACCAAAGCAGGGACAGGGATAGGAGTATTTAGGCCGAAAACTAAATACTCCGAACCAATGGGCACCTACCCCAGCATCCTTGAAGCAGAAAGCTATCAAAAAATGCATTCAATTTATCTATAGGAACTATCGAAAACAAGAAATAGCCATCGTATCCGATAGTCAAGCGGCACTAAAAGCAATCAACTCAGTAACCATTAATTCAAAGTTGGTTAAAGAATGTCTAGGGAAGGTGAACAAATTAGTCAAAGAATATAAAGTCCTCCTACTCTGGGTGCCAGCCTACCCAGGGATAGAAGCCAATAAAAAACAAACGATAAACTAGAGAGATAACTAGAAAAGGAGCGAACACTTGACTAATAAAACCACCTAACCGTTCTGCTTTCCAAGTAGAAACCAACTTAAAGCGGAATTGAAGAACTTGGAAGATTCCATCCGTAACATAGAATAGGAATCCTCCAATAGTCTAAGACACTCCAAGAAATTTCTCAGAACTTCCGACCAAGAAAAATCAAAGATTTCCCTAGATTTACGTAAGAACAGTCTTCGGATTGTCACGGGATTTTCTACGTGACACTGTCTCTTCAACGAACATCTCAGTAGATTGAAGCTAAGAAACAACGGCGAATGCAGATTCTGAGAGAGAATGAGTGTTTTATGCGTTGGCCGCAGAACGAGTAGAGGCTCCACCGTACAGCACTTGAGACGTAAGGGGAAAAAAATTCAAATCATTAGGTTAGGGTGCGGATCTTCCCAATTCTTTCAATCAACTCTATTATTTTAACTTTCGAAAGAATATAAAAATTCATATAACTTAGCGTTTAAAAAACCATCATATAACAAAATATATCGAACCTCGATATGAAGGTTTGGTTTGGCGTTTTTTGTGCCATATAATCAAAACTAAACTACTTTTTATCATTCGTCTACATTGTACTTACTTATTTTCTTTATGTGAGTAGATTTTTGCTCCCATACATCATGCTGATGTTCAATAATGTCCACTTCAGCAGCACACATTGTTCTATAATGACTTTCTGTATTGATGGCGAGACAATAGAATGTTTTGTGTGGATCAACTAAACTAGAAACAATTAGTCCTTAAATAACATTATATGTACATTCTTATTTCATAAACCTTTATAAAATTTTATAAATAATCTAGTAAAATACTTGGTAAATAGAAATCATTTTGATTCATATCGAAAATATACTTTAACCAAATAAATTATTACCTTGGTTGCCATTTGACAGTTAACCAGTCTTTCTTCCCTTTCTTGGAAAGTTTCAGATTGTTTTGTTGTGAGCTTCGCAAGGCTTGAGGTCCGCCATCTTCTGTACTTATGTATATATGAGCGTAAGTCTCTTGTTCTCTAGAAACTATGCTTAATACGTATATGCCTTGTTTTGATGTAATTGTCTCCGTGCCCAGATCTTTGGTAGACTCTTTGTAAGTGAGTGACGTTATATCATCTTAAAGAAAATCGCAATTCAATATTACAAAGAATATAAAGTATTTTCAATTATTGTTCTAAACAGTTTCAGAAGATATGAAAATTTTTTTTTTTATTTCTTCTGTTAAAAAAGTTGTATTATCATAAACTAGGATAGACCCGAAATACTATAGTAGCTAAAACACATTAGAATGAATGGTATTACATAGTACAAGAAATACTGATAACTGTTTCTTTAAATATGGTAGACCATGTTTCATTTAAAAGATAACTGGTTGATATTAAACTTTCTTGGTTTTATTTTCTCATTTTCACAGTTAGGTAGTTTATACTTATTATATATACTATATATAGTATTTATATTATACAACAAAACATATTCTTGAAATAATGGAGTGATGTGTCTATCAGAAACATTGTATTTGAATGTGGGCTTGGAACAAAAAAAAAAAAGAAAATAGAAAAAAGAAAATTCCATCTCTCCAACTCCCAGTGGATGACATACCAAGAATTTACAACTTTGAGAAACACCTCACTGTAGTACTGAGTAATAAAATGGATTGGAAGGAAGAAACGCTTACTCAGCATATAAAAGACCATACCATAACGTTGTATACTGATGCTTCCAAAACCAAAGCAGGGACAGGGATATGAGTATTTGGGCCGAAAACTAAATACTCCGAACCAATGGGCACCTACTCCAGTATCCTTCAGGCAGAAATTTACGCTATCGAAAGATCGCGTAAATTTCTGTTAAATCGTACGTAAAAAAATACGTACAATTTATCTTAGATAGGAACTATCGACAACAGGAAATTGTCAACCTATCCGATAGTCAAGCAGCACTAAACGCGATCAATTCAGTAACCATCAATTCGAAGTTGGTCAAAGAATGTCTAGAGAAGCTCAACAAATTAGGCAAAGAAAATAAAGTCCTCCTACTCTGAGTGCCTGTTCACCAAGGGATAGAAGGCAATAAAAAAGCAAATGATCTAGCTAGGAAAGGAGCGAACACTCCACTAACTGGACCAGAGCCGTTCTGTTTTCCAAACGGGAACTAACTGAAAGCGGAACTGAAGAATCTGGAAGACTCCATCCGTAACTTTGAATGGGTGTCCTCCAACGGTCTAAGACCCTCGAAAAAGTTCCTCAGAACTTATGACCGAGGAAAATCAAAGGTTTTCCTTGATTTAAGTAAAAACAATCTTCGGATTGTCACGGGGTTTTTAACAGGACACTGTCTCCTCAACGAACACCTCAGTAGGCTGAAGCTGAGAAACAACGGCGAATGCAGATTCTGTGGGGAAAATGGGGAAACACCAGAAAACCTTATCACGGAGTGCGCCGAGATGACGACCATTCGTGCCATGAACTTTGGTACGGCTGATGTCGAGGATGGAGAGCTGGCCTCTGTGGAGCCGTCTCAGATACTGGCTTTTGTCAAGTGTAAACACAATTTGATAACAGTTAGTGATACATTTGATCGAAAGGTTGTGCATGTTAAAATAAATAGACAATGCAAGTCGACAATGAATCATTGTAATTGTAAAAAATATAAATCTATCTTTTATCTAATATATTGTTAACCTTCAAAGCAAATATAAAATATTAAAATAGTTATGATATTTAATAAAATAAATTGGAGTTAAACAAACCTGATAATGATGAATTATTATTGTTGAGGTATAACATAGTCCAACTGATTAGTGAAGAGCACGACATTAAGATAACGTGAAGTGATCTGTTACTGTCCATTGACCAGTAGTAAAATCTGAAAAGTATAAAAAATAGATCTAATTTATAAAAAAAAATATTCATAATACATAATAGTGTATTAGAGCAAATGGTCTTGTTCTACTTTCGTTATTCACTAATCGTGTATCTACTACTAAATTTTATTTTTAACATTATTTTCGTTTTTAAGACAAAATGCGACTCATGATTTATGAAATAGTGCATTTAAGGAAGTGTAAATTAATTTTGTGATATTTGTAATATTATTAATTATTAGCATAAGTAATAATACATTTGCTCTTAAAGAAAAAAATCACAGAGAGCCTGGATTTTGTGGTCAATAGCTTGAACGACCTGAATAATTTGTTTTGCAATTTTGATGAGTCAACTTTTTATTGAAGAATGTTTTAAGACAACAGAATCACTTCTAAGAATTAACAGAGAGACACAAACTATTTACAAAATTATTTAAGTATGTGGCAACTGCTAATATATCCCTGTGTGATATTTTTAACAACTTTATTCACTTATAGAAATAATTTGCCTTCACCAATTTGTCAAGAAATGCTTTTTTATTAACTAAATTTTTTACTATATTTTTATGAAAGATTTTTTCAAAATACGTTGCTTTAAAATAACTTATTAATTTGTCACTCAGGCAAGTAAAACGAAAAAGACAGAGAGAACGTCATTTTTATTGGTCTGTAATCGAAATATTTTAACAATATTTCGAAAATGTTAGTCGTAATATGAACTATGCCTATTATTCATAATTAACTCCATCAGAAATATTTTCGTTATAAATAAATCAAAAGTATTTACATCTATTTTAAACGCACTTTAAAATAAATAAAACATCATGAAATATGAGTACAACGTCCAGTGGACAGAAAGCTCATGTTTTGTGAGGTGCTAATTTATGAAAACTAGACCAAAATCTCGTTATTTTTCATGTACGAATAGTTTACACTAATTTTAAATAATATTTTATAGACTACAGTGAAAAGAAAATCTATATTCACACATTTTTAAGATTTGAGTTCCTTGGCTCGCCAAGTGTAAACATTTAGGTGGACATAGGCATTAGCACTTTTTAAGAATCACTGTTAGAATACGCAGTGTTGTAGTTTGTAGTAGTACAGATAAGAAACCATACGCATTTAGAGCAATGCAAAAAAATATATCCTTCAATAATTTATTAAACATTATTTTAATAATCAGTTGATAGAATGGAATTGATAAATAGAAACACTAATCAAACTATGAAATCTTAAGTGTAAATCTATAAAGGTAGGACACTTAAAATTCTTGACAGAATCTTTGCTTTATACATACTCTTCAAGAGCTATTTATATGGCATAGTTTTGAACAAATATGGTATACGGTGCTCTGATGCGGAACTCACTTTACAAAAATTATATCTCTTTACTATCGTTGATTGAAGAAATTCTTTCAATCAACGATAATATCGTCTATCAAAAATAGTATATAGTCTAAGAGCTAGCTTCATAAACAACCTTATTATCGTTACATGGCTATTTTTTTTGTGAAGTATTCTTTTGTGTAGCCATTATGAAATAGCCATGTCTGCCAGCGCGATCCCGGGGCTTAAAGCGGTGGCGGCCAATCGAAAGGGTGAAATTTTGACACTAAAAATATAAGGTACAGGGTGTCTCACTAAGAATAGCTCTCGGCTGTATCTCGGAAAGTATTAGCCGTAGCGGCTGCGGACAAAAATATATATATAACTAAAGAGGCTATGGGAAATTGCTGGAAATTATTTTCAAGTTTGTAGAACGACCGCTTGGTGGCGCAACTGCAACAAAAAATAAGAAAATGGAGTTTTTACACAATTTTGCCTAGATAAGGTGTACTATAAGTAACAGCTTTATAATCTTCAGTAAATTTTGAATATTTTTTGTTAGAGCCATTTTCCCCTATCTACCAAAATAAAGTGGTGGGGGAAGGTTAGATCTGTTTTTATTTGAATATTAATAACTCTATACTGGATGATCGGAATCAAACAAGCGATGGCTCGTATAAAAGAGCGTTTCTTACTCTATATTGTCCCATATAAACAATAATAATAAGCTTTTGAACGTAGACGCTAGGGGGCGTTGTCTTACAATTTAACAAACATTGCGCGTTTTTTCAAAAAAATTAAATACAATAGTATATGTAATTTTAGCTGATAGTAAAGAGTAGTAAAAGCTTAAAAAGGCAGCGAAAACCGCATCTTGATATCTTCTTTCAAACCGAAGATATTAGCAAAATTATAATAAATATCAAAAAATCAACCCTTAATTACCTTACTTTTACACCACGGTATCAGTAGCCCTCTTGATTATGCCCATTCTAACCTAAAAATAAGATAGAAACAGTTAGTTTATTTTAAAATCGACGATATACCAGAATATCATAATATCAGATGTATTAATATCTAATAATTAAGATATTAATAATAGCGAACAAGAAACGATGATTCAGTGAAGTCATGGTAGGCTTTGGAAAAAAGTTCCTGTTGACGTAATAATATAAACGTCAAATTGTTATTAGATCAACATTTTTATAGTCTTAGCAGCTTTTTTTATCTTTTGATTACTTTTTCAAAATGTCAACAACTTCAACTACTTCAAATAATAAAGGCATTTTGAAAAATCATTTAAAAGATAAAAGAACGCTGCTAAGACTATCAAAATGTTGATCTAATAACAATTTGACTACCATGACTTCACTGAATCATCGTTTCTTGTTCACTATTTTAATATCTTAATTATTAGATATTAATACATCTGGTATTATGGTATTCTGGTATCTAACTAACTGTTTCTATCTTATTTTTTTGTTAGAATGGGCCTAATCAAGAGGGCTACTGATACTGTATTGTAAAAATAAGGTAATTAAGGGCTTATTTTTTGGTATTTATTATAATTTTGCTAATATCTTCGGTTTGAAAGAAAATATGAAGATGCGGTTTCCGCTGACTTTTTAAGCTTTTACTCCTCTTTACTACCAGCTAAAATAGCACATACTATCGTATTTATTTTTTTTTGAAAAAACGCGCTATGTTTGTTAAATTGTAAGAAAGCGCCCCCTAGCGTCTGCGTTAAAAACCTTATTATTATTATTATTATTATGATATAATATAGAATAAGAAACGCTCTTTTAAACGAGCCCTCGTTTGTTGGATTCTGATCATCCAGTCCGGAGTTATTAACAATTAAATAAATATAGATCTAACCTTCCTCCACCACTTTATTTTAGCAGATATGGGAAAATGGTTCTAACAATAAAAATTCAAAATTAACTGAAGATTATGAAGCTATTATTTATAGTACCCATTATCTAGGCAAAATTCTGTAAAAAATCTATTTTCTTATTTTCCATAGCAGTTGCGCCACCTAGCGACCGTTTTACAAACTTGAAAATAATTTCCAGCAATTTCTCATAGCCCTTTTAGTTATAAATATTTTTTTTTTGTAAGCCCTACGGCTAATATTTTCCGAGATACAGCCGAGAGCTATTCTTAGTGGGACACCCGGTACACAAGTTATAATTGCGAAAATAGCTTTTATTTATTATTAAGAAGCGTGGAAAATTATTGGCTGACATTTTTCTCGTCGCTAAAATGCCGGCAGACAACGCGAAAGAGGCATAAAATTTTGGAAAAAAAATCATGGCATACATCTATTCTTTGCATACATGCCGATTGATGGAATGTCATGGATTATGGGGATGGACTTCATGTATTATGTTTCAATTGATAACGCGGCGAGCGTTTTCGGAAAACGTTTATAGGTGCGTCTTAAATAAGTGCAAATACTTTTAGGGTGATATGTTTCGACCCCAGGAACACGTCTATGAGTTTTTTTTCGCAAAAAAGATGTTGAAAATCGTGCATTTTTTTAAATTTTTCTGTATATTTAAGAAAACTTTTTAGAACTGCCTGTTCACCGCAAATTTACCCACGGTATAATTATTCCTTAACCTACCATGCTTACCTTTATACTAGGGTCGGCATTTCTGGTTTTGGATGCCGGTTTTCATGTGTACGAAGAGTACGGCCAACACGCTTAGTAAAATAAGATGTACTGAATAAAGAGAGAAGGCGAGAATTTTCCCAAGCGCATGGAATCTAGCATCAGATTAAGTAGTTATGTAATAAATACTTCGTATTTTTGTTTACTCCGACTTACTAGATTACCATAACGACTCACTCCTATACATGTAAACGCCGCGCCGACCCAAAGGTTTCGCTTGCCAGCGGGGTATGTCTATGGTTAAGATACTAAAAGCATGGATGCAAATACAGAAAAAAAAAACAGGTGACTTGCAAAATTATTTAAAAATAAATCAATTTCTTTTTAAATTTTCAAACTTGCATAACTCGGTTATTTTGGACTAGTTTGGAAAATGGTAAAGAGAAAATGTTTCTTTTATCGAAATCTACCAGCTCTGAAAATATTTGCACTTATTCAAGACTCACCTTGTAGAGTAATATCGGGCTTTTGATAAATGTCTACCGCTGATTGAGCTACAATCAATTTTTGTCTACCCTTTTGCATACGGCTTTTTAAATAAACATGACGTTCCACCAATCGGCACGCATATATGCGATGATATTTTTTTGTCAAAGTTTCATGCCTCATTCGCTTTGTCTGCCGGCATTTTAGCCACGAGAAAAATGTCTGCCAACAATTTTTCACGTTTCTTAATAATAAATAAGAACTATTTTCGCAATTATAACTCGTGTACCTTATAATATTTTCAGTGTCAAAATTTCACCCTTTCGATTGCCCGCCCCCGCTTTAAGCCCCGACTATTTCATAATGGCTACATAAAAGGATACTTCACAAGAAAAATTAGCCATGTAACGATGATAAGATTTTTTATGTAGCCAGCTCTCCGTCTAATAGAGGAAACACTATTTTTGTACAAATCTTATGCTACTTAGACTAAAAAATAAAGAATCACTTTAAAAAATGTAAAATATGGTCTTGTTTGTGATTGTACATGCTCATTTGTGCTCATATAATA